CTATGGGGGGTCCTGTCTGTAAGAAGGGGGTCCGATCTGTGGGTTAGTGCACGCACGGGGGGCTTCCGTTGTGTGTGGGTGGGTGGGTTGTGGGGGATGGGGTCCCATCTGCCAGTCAGTGAGTGGTGGGGGGTTCCGTCTGCGGGGGGGTCCCATCTGCAGGTGACTCAGAGTGGGGGGCCCAGCTTGATTTTACTAGAACTAGAACACAACTTGTGATCACGACAATGCATGCAAATGCACTGCAATTTTTTTCCGATGCTGTTTCTGGATCCTTCTCTGAACTGCAGTTGTAAATGACCATTTTATAGGTAAATTTTCTTTTATGTGACCCTTAAGACCTCTGCAATCTTGAGCCTCATTGGTTGTTAGGCCAGCGAGTGAGTGCTGCTGTGGTGCAGCCCAGCCTTGCTGCAGTCTAATCACAGTCTGTTCTGCTTCTCCTCCTTTTTCACTTTGTACAGAAAAACGACAGTATCACAGTAAGTCCCTTTATCTCCCCAGCACTCACGTCTGTTACCCCTCCCACTGCTGGCCCTTGTGGCTCAGTACAGAATGCTGCATCTCTCCACCCTCTTCATATTCACTGGGGGGGGGGTCGTCATGTCCGTGTCCCGTGAGTCTTTGCCCCCTGTACCGTCTCTGCATTTCCATGTTATCAGACAGGATCTCGTACCACTGGGCCGGCCTGCTTTTTTTTGTGTGGCTCACGGGGTTTTTAGGATAAACAAGGCAGAGGCTTGTTTCCACAGAAGCGGATCTCCATAAAATTTGGGTCAGGAATGAGCTTGTATTGGCCTCCAACTATGAAATAAGTTGGGCAATTAGAGCCTGAGTTGCTGTGCTCGGTTTGCTTAGTCACATGTCCCTGAGGTCCTTGCACCTTTTAAAGCTTTAAGGTGGCCGGGAAAGAAGGGGAGCAAACTGTGCAAAAATCATGGAATTTAAGGAACTGATCTAGTGGCTCAGAAGCTGAGCGAGCGGTGAGGAGCCGCCTCCTTCAGGGTCCTACCTCCCGTCCGACAGCAGTGGGAGCCTCATAATCTCGGCTCTGTGCCAGTGGCATGCTGGGAAAGGCACCGCACAACGTCCGCTCTGTTTCAAGCTCTGCATGGCCGTCACATTACAGCTCGGGATTTGATTATCTTCAATCTGCGTGGGACCAGCCGGCTGCCCTGGGTTCCTGAGCTGAGCATCCAGACTTGCCGCTTCTCACATTTTCAGGGGTTGTAAACTCTAAGTGGCAGTTGTCCTGATTGTTGGCCTGTTGCTGTTCGGTTTTGAATTGGGCCAATTCACCCCAGCACTGCCGGCCGCAGATGGCTTCATTTTAACTGTGCGAGGTTTTAACTCTCTTCCAGACTGAACAGCCTGATGACTTTCTGTCCCATCAAGGACATTGGTCCCCATTACGGACCTGTGCTCAGAATTAATTTAAATTTTGAGCACATCTGATTTTCTTCAAATTCCTTATGATTGTTTTTAGCTGAACTTTTTGCTGTCTTACCATAAATTCTAACCAGTCAAGCTTTGCATTGGGAGTGGGGGGGTTAAAGTTTTAAGAGCAAGTATTTTCCTTTCCTTTCATTGGGTGTAAATGCATAATGGTAAAAGCCGTGCTCGTAGCTGTTTTGCATTTTGTGACATGGCCATTATTCTATTGCCATGTAAGCATTGTTTTTGTCCCATAGTCCCTGCCCCCCCCCCCTTCCTCAGAGTGCTGGTTATTAATGCCCCATGCCCCCCCCCCCAGACCAGCCTGGCCACCTCCCTGTCTGTGACCGAGGAGCTGATCTTCTGCGGCTGCGCAGACGGCACGGTGCGCTCCTTCAGCCCCGCCAACCTGCACTTCATCTGCAGTCTGCCGCGGCCCCACAGTCTGGGCATGGACGTCACCACAGTAACGGAAGCCAGGTGAGGTTTCCTGTGCACAGCCGTCACCACGGTAACGGAAGCCAGGTGAGGTTTCCTGTGCACAGCCGTCACCGCGGTAGCGGAAGCCAGGTGAGGTTTCCTGTGCACAGCCGTCACCGCGGTAATGGAGGCCAGGTGAGGTTTCAGAGGAAGGAAGGCCTTGTCCGGGGGCCGCCTCTGCCTCGAGTCTGAGGAATGGGTCCCTTTAATCAGCCACACTGTCACCGCATAACCGCTGCTTCTGTTTTCTGATGAGTAACTATGGATTTACTGTTCAGAACGTGCTTTATTGATATCTTTTATCCTCCAGTGACAAATGGGAAGCATTTGGCCAGTGATGGTATCATTACTGCCGTTGTCATGTTCTGTATGTGAGATTGCAAAAGGTTCCAGTACTCTGAAGAGAAGCAGAGAGGTGCCTGTACCATTTACGCCCCGAGCATCGGCCCGCTTGATGATCACCAAGCACCAGCCCGGTTGACACACCCCGAGCACCGGATGTGAATTTTTTTTTTGTGTTTCTGTACAAGATCTGCTGTTCAGCTGATGTTGCCAAAAGCATAAATGAAACATGCCAGAATGCGAGCCTGCAAATAAGACTTGTGCAAAACCCCGCCTCACATTGCTTAGAATTCCAGCCAGAGCGCTGTGGGAAGCTAAGAATTTGACCCAATACAATCCAAATGTTAATGCCTTTTAAAAATTTCCAAACGTTCTCAAAAAATGCTCTCGATGAGGGTGTGCGTGGGCTCCGCCTGAACGGCACGCGGGGTCTTCCTCAGGTCAAGCACGTTATGTCACTTCCTTGCCCTTCCGTGACTCGGATCTTTAAAGCGGCTGAGGACTGGTACCTGAACAGCTCTTTTGTGCTGCTGAAAGACATTATTGAATGTTATTTACAGAGAAGCCATTGAAGTCCTTGTTTTATGCATTATGTACAGCACAAACACAGCTGCTCTGTCTTTTTACCCCATGTGTCTTTTGTCTTGCGTCTGAAACATTCAGTCTTTGTTTTGACAGGTTTGATTCATTCCATTCAAATATTATGTGTAGTTCTGTATTAGACTTGGAGGCTAATGCATGTAAACACACACATTGTCTCCTTGGGAGCTGAACGCTCAGCCCGGTTTGCTGAACCTCTGCTCCTGTGCGTGTTTGTTCATGCATCCTGTGAATGAGGTTTCGCACTTTAAGGCCGGTGAGCCAAGCTTGTATCGGCATCATCAGGCTTCGCCGAAGTTTGCAGGTTGGCTCCGTTTGTCCTGTTGATTCGCAAGTTTGCGTTCACTCTATAGCGATCTCTTTAGTCTCTCTGTGAGATAACAAGACCGCTACCGTTTAGAGTTTGAATGTAGGTACGCTCCAAGCCCTGCCCTCCCAACACCCTTCTGACCTTCCATTGTCTCCTCCATCCTTTCTCAGCCACCTCTTCTCCTTCAAGCCGGACGTCCGTTATCCTGACACAGTGGCCGTGACCTACGACCCCACGAGCCGCTGGTTGTCATGCGTGTACAACGACCACAGCCTGTACGTGTGGGACGTGAAGGACCTGCGCAAAGTGGGGAAGGTGTACTCCGCACTCTACCACTCGGCCTGCGTGTGGAGTGCAGAGGTGAGCCCTTGTCTATCGCAAAGGCTGCCGTCTACAGAAATCCTCCCCAACTCCTGCTCTTGGTCCTGGATTATTCTGGAAAGCCTGTGGCATCGTGTGTGGAAATTCCCAGGGGGTCCTGCTCATGCTGGCCTGTGTGGTCCTATAAGTGACCCTTAGCATCTGGCTTGTAGGCTTCCTGTGTGTATCTGAGAGGATTACTGCTTGGGTGGCTGACTGTCCCGTTTCCTACCTTAGGTGTACCCAGAGGTTTCTCAGGGCGAGCAGGCATTCCTGCCCCCGGGGTCCTTCCTCAGCTGTTCCTCGGACAACACCATCCGCTTATGGAACACAGACGGCCACAGCACTGCTCTCAGCCGCAACGTCCTCAGCAACGTGAGTCCAGGGTGTCCCCTCCCCGCCCAGTGGGACCTCGTCTGCAGATTACAGTCATGGTTATAGTCTATTAGCACTTCACAGCTCCAGTCCTTGAGTTATGGTGTCTCCATGTGTTCACCTAGTTAACCACACCTGTCCTGATAGACCTTGAGGGGGAGCGACAGGTCTGAGTCGATAGCTTACTAAAACGTGGAGGATGTGCTGTATTCATCAAACCCGAAGTGATTGATGGCTCCTCAGCCCATATCTCATTCCTCTTCGGCTCCTCATCCTCTGGTCTCACACCCGAAAACCCATCATTAGATGCAGCCTGGAAGCTGGTTTCTGCACGCACAGCAATCCTGCCATTCACTTCATCCCACTTTTAGTTATAATGGATGCTTACATCATTTCGCATCACAAACTAGTTTTTTAATTTTTTTTGTCCCTTGCTTCTCCTTGGTATCCTTTGCTTTTCTGTGGATTTTTTTAGGCATTCTGTCACACATGATCATGGCCTTCAGGACAGTTATGGACTGCTAATTGTAGGTTTTATTTTCAAGCCTGGTCAGGCAGGCCCCAGTGGAACACCGATAGTTAGTGCTGGGAGATGTGAGGATTTGAATCCAGCAGTGTGCAGTTACTGAGAGCTGTCAATCGCAGTCTGTTGGCCTAAGGGAAACCTGGTTATGTGGGTAAAACCTGCCAGTGGAGGATGGCTCATCCTTTCAGTACTACAGGCAGTAAAATTTCATATTTGGTCATTAATACCTTTCAACCTTTTCCCTCTTCGCACTAATCATATACAGATCACATTTTTGCAAAAAAAATGGTGCAGGAAGACAAAAGTACAAAACCAATCTCTGTATTTGCTTAAACCAGTGTTTACCAACCTGGTCCTTGGGGACCCCCAGACAGTCTATGTTTTTGCTCTTTCCCAGCTCCCTGCCAGAAAGTCCGCATTTTTGCTCCCACCCAGCTTTGACTGGGAAACACTAGTTTAAACTTTTTGGAGAGTTGATACATTTCTGTGTCATTCTACCCACATAGGACCTCATGAAGGTCATCTACATGGAAAACAACACCGCCTCCCTGCTGGACATGGAGTGTATAGCCACCAGCAACACAGAGAAACCGGACAGCCAGACCTCTGAGAACCGGACTGGCATTAGGACCATGAGCGTCAGTCCAGACGGTCAGCACCTGGCTTCAGGCGACCGCATAGGCACCCTAAGGTACTGTACCGGGGTACACACGGGCTCTTCTTATCTCACTTTAATTTGGAGCAGTTTAGGGACAAGAGACCAGCCTTGATGAAAGCTTTTATATAACACTGTATGCAAGATCATTGTATGTTGTTAAAGATGTAAAGTGGGAAGGTCTCAGGTTTGATATCAGCAGGGATCTGAATCATACTCAGGGAGCAGTCTGCTGAATCACCCCCTGCTATTGCAGGATTCATGAGCTCCAGAGCATGGAGGAGATTCTGAAGGTGGAGGCCCATGACTCCGAGATCCTCTGCCTAGAGTACTCTAAGCCGGAGACTGGTGAGTGGCCGGCCCTCGGGGACACACTCAGAATGGGGGGGGGCACACTTCTACTAAAAAGATAAGGATAGTGCAGCGTTTCCCAGTCCGGTCCTTGCGGACCCACAGATGGTCCACATTTTTGCTCCCTCCCAGCTGGGAGGGAGCAAAAACATAGACTGTCTGTGGGTCCGCAAGGACCGGACTGGGAAACGCTGCACTATCCTTATATTTTTAGTCTGATCGCTGTACTCTTCGAAAATCTGACATGTTATGTGTATATATAACTGTAAATGTGTTAATTCTCATCAGAATTTTTTTTAAATCACAATAAATACAGTCCTTCAGACTGTCAGACAAATGAAGGGAACGTGAATATGAAGGGAAAAAGTGGTTTGACCTGAGTTATGAATTCTCATATTAATCATTGAATGTATTTATGTTTGAACTAGTGGTTGAACATAACCAGCCTTTCTGACACAATAGCCCAGTGGCAATTTGCCAGCAAACCTATAGACTATAGACTCACACCTATTACATCATTGTGCAATAAGTCATTTTGTTTCCAGAGTGCTTTAAGGCTCCCAGTATGAGCTCTTCCATACTGCTCCTAATCTAGTCTGAGACTTGATTTAACACAGGTGGGTCTTGTGCTACTGAACTTGCAGCAAAATGGATTCAGCACTGTGCTGTTGCAGTACGAGTGGATGTTTCAGCCTGTCATTGCGGTTTAATTGTGTAAATGTGTGCAGGTCATCCTGCATTTTTTAGCTTCTAATGTAGCGGGATTATTGGGCCCCGTGGCTGTGGCGGACCGCAGCCGTCTGTAGGGAGGAATGCGCTGGAATGTCTCCAGTACTGGGCTTATGCCCTCCCCACCCTGGATGCCCACCTCCCTTCCCATAGGCAGTGTGTGTGTCAGAGCAGGCTCGCCCTGCTTATTCATGTTTTGGTTTTGTTCGTCGTTCCCCTTCCCTGTGGTTAGTTCTGTTCTCTGGCTGGTACCATTCAGATGAAGGGGAGCCTGGGGAAGACCCCCCCTCCCCCCCACCCCTCATTAGCCATTGGGTCATTTTAGAGCTGGTTGACCTTCAAGAATTTTTATTTATTTATTTTTTAATGAGCACCACCCTGACCCAATTTCACTGCACTTCACTGCCACACTGAATTTCTTGTAATCCATGCAATATAACCCAGATAATTGTCTCTCAGTATTGTAAATACTGACTATAGCTGATTTAGATTTTATCACGCAACAGGATGAGCTGCAGTTCAGCTTTTTGCTCAGTCTGGAATCCCTCCAGCTGGGGGGGGTGAGGTGGGGGTTAGTCAGGCAATGCTAGAGGGCCCTGTGTTCAGCACACTGGGTCGCTTGCCATAATTCACACTGTGCCAGGGCCCTGATGTCCCAGTGTCACATCACTACAGCATTGCAGCTGCCATGCTGTGCAGGAAATGCAGCTCGGAGCGATGAGTCTGCACCCAGACGTGTTCGGTCGGGGTCCCGTGTGGTTTCCTGTGGGGCTTAATCACGCTGCTCTGATATGGAGGCGTGTTCCTGAGTCAAGATCCGCAATGGAGTGTCAGCACAGCTGGTAATTACTCCCCACTTGATGTGTGTGGATTCCTTCCAGTGGCAAGTTTTCGGCCTAAGCGCCATGTGACAGGCATGTGGTTGAGACTCTAAACAGATCTGGGGTCAGTGAGGGGTGGGGTATTTTAAAGGGGTGGTGCAGGGCTCCAGCCACCTGATCTGCTGATTTTTTTTTTTATTATTTATTTATTCATTTATTTTTGTGAGGAACATGAGCAGGAAGCCTCTCTTTACTTCCCACTGTTCAGGCTTCAGGAGTTTGGAGTCTGCTGTAACGTTGCTGTTGGTTAAGCATGATGGTGTTTAGCATTGTGACTGGTTACCTGGTCCCATCTAGGTCCCTGCTTGTGCTCTACTTAAAGATACAGGACCTGAATCTCTCCTGTAAAATTGATGTACAGTACGTCTGTGAGCTACAGGTGTGCAGTAAAGGGCTGGGCTGGCCTGGGATTAAAAACTGGCTGTGAATTTTGGGGTCACCCTGCAGTAAATTTTACCAAGGGAGGGGGGAGGGGTACCTGCAATGAATTTTGCTAGCGCAAAGCCCCTTGGCCCAACAGAAAATTGCCAGAAAGCCAGACCAGGCCTGGTGCAAGATGCATTTCAGGGGGAGAATTTGATTCATTCTGCCTATAGTCTGAACTGCAAAGACCCAGAAGGCTGGCAGACTTGGATGGGTCCAGCTGCTGGGCTCCTCTCGATGTAAATGCTCTTCAGAGATGTCCACCACTGCACCTGCAGGACTGTGGGTGGAACTGAGCAGATTGCACCCCCCTGAAAGTGCAACCCCCCGAGATGGACAGGAGCCTGGCTGGCAGGACATGCACTGGAGTTTGGGTGGGGGTCCTAAACAAAGATGTGCATTTTAACCATTCCAGGTTTGGAGGAAAAGGTATCATAGCACTTTAACATGCCATGTGAAAAGATCGCAGTCAGGCAAGGGACCACTTTTTAGGGCTGCGTGGTGCAAACAGGAGGTCAGTAGCTGGTGAGCTCACAGCTGTTTGTGTGTCAGGCCTGAAGCTGCTGGCCAGCGCCAGCCGGGACCGACTGATCCATGTGCTGGACGTGGAGAGCAACTACGGACTGCTGCAGACTCTGGATGAGCATTCGTCCTCCATCACAGCTGTGCGCTTCGCCGGTCAGTCGCTCTCTACATCCCGCTTTCCTCGTGCATCTATGCACTGATGTTCACTTGCATGTGTATTTCATCATATTTTAAATAGTTACAATTAACATCACCATTTCAATTTAGTTTGAAATGTTTGTTTCTTTCGAGGGGGTTCACTCTGCTGCTAAGGTTGGTTTAGCTGCAGCTTTTAATACAAATGTGAACTTTTATATGGAATTTCTGATTAAAAAAAATCCAAAAATCTCCCCTTTTAACCCCCTGTAGTCAGTGGGCTTACTCCCCGCTCCCCCCTCCAATGAGAACATATCATTGCTCAGCAACATTAGGCTTAAACCTTTGCCACCTGCAGTGTAAAATACATCATGATCCTGTGGTAAATGTCCCGGCAGTGCAGGCCGTGAATGAGTCGCTGTCTCTTCTCCATAATCAAATAACCTTCTCGCTGTGTGGATTCTCATTTGATAGCTAGTTTGTGATTTCTCCCCCAGTAGCAGTTTAAAAAGTTTTTGTTTATTTTTTTGAGTGGAATGTTCGAATCTAGTGTGAGACTAATGTGATCTTTGCTGCGCTGTGTTAATTATGGGGGCGAAACAGCTGTTGTCATGCCAACAATGGCTGCTGAGCTGGTCTGAAACTCCCCTCCCTCTCTCTGGTGTGGAGGCTTTGCTGCTGTTACCATAGTAACCCCCTCTGCTTCTCTCCCCCAGCTAACGATGGCAAGGTGAGGATGATCAGCTGTGGCGCAGACAAGAGCATCTACTTCCGGACAGCACAGAAGGTCAGTCACGGCGAGCTGACCCCTGAACCGTGACCCCGAGCGGGGTGGAGATGTTCTGCAGTCTGCTGCCTTTCTCTCTTTATTCAGGCTCCACACTAGTTCACCGTTGGTCTTTGGGTGGGTGTAAATCCCGTGCCCAGGCTTCAGCTCTGAGCATGTGCCCCACAGTCATTCCCTGCGATCTGGATAATGTTCACCTTTTTCAGCACACAGCCTTGTTTATAATCTGCCCTAATTGTAAAAACCGCAGAACCATAGCAGTTCATAAGTCCTGTTGTATAACCCCTCATCCACAGCGCCCTTCCACAAGGTGTTGGATTTTCATATTGTTAAATGGTTATTAGGTTCCATAATTTGTGGGATTTTTACTTGTACCCAGTACAGGATTCCCACAGCTCTTAAAGCTTCTGATCCTTTCTTAAAACTTGGTCATGCACATAACTAGTGTGACTTTAATTTTAGAACTTGTTTTCTGTGTGTCTGGGGGGATCTAATCTATTTAAAGGGGGTGCCAATGTCCACCAGTGTTTCTTGCCTTGATTGCCCACCCCAGGATGACTGTTATTCTGTCTCTGAGGTCATATACAGTGTAGTTTGTTTTTCTGGCTGCCTAGACTACTAATGGACTTTTTAAATATGTCAGTGTGTCCATATCGCCTCAAAACAAGATAAGCGTCTTGTTCTTAGGTGAATTGTGTTTATGTGCTAAACCTTCTCTTATACTTAAGTGGTTTAATTTCAGTTTACAAGTGTAAGACTCTGTAGTGATACAAAGATATTTTGGTCTTGTTTGGCCTTGGGGGATTATAGGAGTGCCAGAGAGGGAAGTTCTCTTTGAGGTTCCTTGCCAGGGTCCCGTCGGCTGCTTGAAAATTTCCCTCTGCAATAAGAGTGTTGGGCATTGATCTGTGGTGTAATTCACTTTATTGAGACGGACAGTGACTTTTTTATTCCTAATTGTTTGGTGTGAAGCTCAGTACCTGTCCTGCTCCATCCCTTCTGTTGTCTAGCTGCGCTTTTACAATCGGTTCATCGGCGCTTTACAGCGATTTTCATTTGGAAAAGCCGACCATCTTTGCCCTTGAGTCAGTGAGCTGTGCGGCCTGCGTCCTCTGCTCTGCATGGGCTTTATGGGTTTTCCTCTTCATTATTTTGTGATGCCACTGGTGGTTTGTGAATTGACAAGGCTGCCTTTGAAATTGTTCTGGTTAACTTTAGCCCAGGGTAATTATGGAGGGTAATTAGTATTCTCTGTCTCTGCCATTATGAAGGTTTCAAGTGCTGTAATTTTATATGGACTGTTTACGGTTGCCAGTTGCGTGATTTACTGGTTGGCTAAATTCCCCAATTCTCACAGCTGACTAGAGTGATTCTCCTTTTCCACGGAGATTACAGTTTAGATTGCAGGCAGCACAGAGCAGCACTGGGACTGTTCAGTAACTTGCTTGTTGTTGTTTGTTTTTTTTCATTCAAAGTTCTGCTGTAGCAACTTCAGAGCCTGGGTTTTATTTACTCAGCTTGATGTGAGTCAAACACAGTAAGTCCCAGCAAAAAATATCCACCTACATGATTTTATTTATTTATATTTTTTAAAGAAGGGAACTCCTCTTATATGCCAAAGAAATATTAAATCTACCACCCAGGACTGGATTATAGCTAGTGTCGCGTAAACGTCAAAGTAAACTCTATTGTCATTCGTACCACACAGTTTGAGAGTGCATGGTAGAACGAAATTGCATTTCTCCTGGCTCAATGTACAAAACAAACAGAAATACTACAGGCTACACACAATACAACACAGAACTACACAGAGAACAGAACTACACGGAGAACTACTATTCAGCACAGAGGTGAATCTCGTGCAGAGTAAATAGTGCTCAAAGTTAAATTTGCAAGTCAGAATATTGCACAGTTAAATATTGCACAGTTAAATATTGCACAAATACAGTGGTACCTCAGAACTCGAATTTAATCCATTCAGAACTCCGGATCGAATCCTAAAAAGTTCGAGTTGTGATAGAATTTTCCCCATAAGAAATAATGGAAAACCAATTAATTGGTTCCCGGCCCCAAAAAATTACACCTAAAATATGTTTTTTTTTTTTTTTTGCATTTAAACACAAAATGAACCGGATGAAACAAGAGTATATACTGTACTAAACACATTTAAGCACATTTATCAAAACAGTAGTTTGTAAAGTAAGAAAATAAATGTATCCAAACAATGTGCCCTGCCCCGATCGTCCGCTCCTTCCGTGTGCCACGCCCCCTCGTTAACCCCGTGTAGAATCTCCGCGTGATCAGCTGTTTCTGGTTGTTGTCATTAGTCCTCTGTATTTCGTCTGCATTTCAGTTTGTTTCCCCAGTCCAGTCATTGTATTGTCCGTCTGCGTTTTGCCTGCCTTACCTGTAATTAAACCCCGTATTCCCCGATACCCTGACGTCTGCGCCTTTGTCTCCGTTCTGTCCTTCCCCAAGTGGAGGAGTTTAAATATCTCGGGGTCTTGTTCACGAGTGAGGGAAAGATGGAACGGGAGATCGACAGGCGGATCGGTGCGCCGTCAGCAGTGATGCGGGCACTGCATCGGTCTGTCGTGGTGAAGGAGCTGAGCCAAAAGGCTTAGCTACAGAAATTTTAAGCATTACACTTTGTTTCCGCTGAGAGACATGCTGCGTGACTCATTTCCCTGTGCGTACAAGTTATCTTAGGTCGGCGTTCACGGTTTGACTTCTGAGATTCAGATTGAGCTCTAGGTCATTTTTTTTTTCAAACTGGTTGGTTCGACTTTTAAGAAATTGGAGTTCTAATGAGTTAGAGAACTGAGGTACCACTGTATTGCAGTGTCTGACAGTTGCCGTATTATAGCAGAGTGTAAGTGCAGATTACTAATAGGTAGTAGCAGCAGAGTATAGTAAATATGAAAACAAACATGTTTTAGTGTGCGTTAAGGAAATGTTTCAGTATATGAATATGCAGTACATTGTTCACAATTGAATATGTAGTGCATTTATTTAAGTGAGTTTAGAAGTCTAATTGCCTGTGGGAAGAAGCTCTTGCTCAGTCGTGCAGTCTTTCATCCCATACTGCGGTAGTGTTTACCGGATGGTAGCATGTTGAACAGTCTGTAGGCTGGATGTGATGGATCCCTGACAATCCTGACCGCTTTGCTGAGGCAGCGAGATTGGTATATCTCTAATAGATGAAAGGGGGGTCCTGATCATTTTCTCTGCTATCCTCACTACTCTATGAAGGGACTTTTGGTCAGAGGCATTACAACTGCCATACCAGACTGAGATGCTGCTGGTCAGGATGCTCTCAATAGTACCCTTATAAAAAGATGTGAGGACATGCGGGGGGAGGTTTGCTCTCTTTAGCCGACGAAGGAAGTGGAGTCGTTGATGTGCCCTTTTAACAAGTGAGGTGGTGTTAGTGGTCCATGTCAGGTCTTCAGTGATGTGTACTCCCAGGAACTTGGTGCTGCTCACTGACTCCACAGCGTTGCCATGGATTGTGAGTGGAGTGTGTGTTTTGCGCTTTTTCCTGAAGTCAACAGTGATCTCCTTCGTCTTGTTGACATTCAGGGACAGGTTATTAATATCACACCAGACAACGAGTTGATTCACCTCTTCTCTGTAGTGTTCACCACCTGCTGGATGTCATCACTCTTCTTGTAACAGAAAAGGATTTGTTGTATTCATAATAATAGTAATAATAATATTGTTATTGATGATGATGGTAATAATAACGATAATCGTAATAATAATGGTGGTGGTGGTGGTGGTGGTGGTGATGAGGATGCTACTAAACTGGATTCCAGTACTTGCTTCCAGGAACCCATTCCCCTGAAGCGAATGAAGACCCCCAGTGCAGCAGCAGATGCTATACCAGAATCTTAACACTGGCACATTGTATCTCCCTATAGACAAAGGGAGGGACAGAGTTCACTCGCACCCACCACATTGTGCGCAAGACCACCCTGTACGACATGGACGTGGACTCCACCCGGAAGTATGCGGCCATTGGCTGCCAGGACCGCAGCATCAGGTTTGTACCCGCGTCTCCCTGCGGCTCTGTCTCCGTGTGTCAGTACGTTAGCATTAGCCGCTTACCTGTAGCAGTCCTAATACTTCAGCACACTGTTTTGATTACGGTAGGAGCGTGCTCGCTAGCCGACAGCGTGATTGCATACATGTGCAGTGTCTCTGTACATTGGGCTCAGTGTGCCCCTGATTTGCAAATGATTTAGCTGCCTTTTTGTCTGGTGTGCAACGGGGGAAGAATAGCAGAAATGGATTAGGGCTCAGGTGCTGCATGCAGGCAGGGATTCGGGTGCGTCTGAATGCGGAAGGCTGACTGTGTGTACCCCCTGCCCAGTCGGCCCTGCTTCCGCTCTCCCTTTCTCTACTCCACTTCTAATGCTAGTGTTTTATACCATGTTCTTGGTTTAGCTACAGAAATTTTAAGGTGCTGATTTCACCCAATTAAATAAAGAATCATATTACAAGTTCTTCTTTTAGCAAAATTTTTAGCTTTAAACTTTTTTTGGATCTAGGTCTATGTTGTTTGACACACCACATGGCAATCTGCCCGGAAATGTGGCTGGTTATGTGTCCCTTAAAGAATCCATATTCTGGGGAACTTCTTTTGGTCATGCATTTAAACCATTGGTAGCTGTATGGTTTCCCCAGAGCTGAAGCTGTCTGCGGACGCTTTGAGGATGGTCACAGTGCAGAAACTGACCTGAGTTGGGGCTTGTGAGGTGAAGGTGCCTTCAGTGCCTCAATCAGATGATCTTCCATGATGGCTACTGCCTGCATTCTGACCATGCCTGCGCCCCCCCCCCCCCCCCCCCCCCCCCCCCCCCCCCCTCGCCAGGGTTTTCAACATCAGCAATGGCAAGCAGAAGAAGCTGTACAAGGGCTCCCAGGGTGAGGACGGCACGCTCATTAAGGTAAAATGTGATGTACAGAGATTCATACAGCTGTCTGTGGACCACTTAATGCAGTCGATTAATCTGTGGACTGGAATATGCTGAAACTCAATCACCAGATCCAAGTGCACAGGGTACACCTCCAAGCTTTAGTGCTTTGTGGGCATCACATGTGTTTCGATATTTATTTCCCCACAGTTTGTAACACCTCCACATGGTCAGCTGCTCAATTACAAACACCTTGCTTATATTTTTGGATTTTTTAGTTGTTTAGCAAATTCTTTTTATCCAAAGCAGCTTAATTTTATATCAGTTTATATAGCTGGATGGGTCTTAGTCACTGTTTCTGTGGTCCTGTGAGTGTACATGCAGCAGATCTAAGGTCAAGTTTGATTTGTAGGTCCAGATTGACCCATCAGGAATGTATGTGGCCAGCAGCTGCTCAGACAAGAACATCTGCATCTTTGACTTCTACTCCGGAGAATGTGTTGCCACCATGTTTGGACATTCTGGTAAAGTTACAAAAATTCTTTCAAATAGTTTTGATAGGTTATGGTCGCAGGTGTTCAGGTAGAAGCGCAATGAAGTGTATGTCTTTGAGTTTAGGTCTCTGTACTGATGAATGAGCCTTATTAAGCTAGATTTGCTTTGAGGTTAACTTAGAATGTGTCCAGTAAGTCTACGTTCACACTGCAGGCCTTAATGCTCAATTCTGATTTTGTACTCGGATCGGATTTTTGGTTTTCCTCTTCAAATTACTCTTTTTAATGTGGGCAATATCAGATTTCAATTAATAAACACAACAAACATTTACAAAATCATAAAAGCCAATCATAATGACTGGTCTTCCACATATACACTTACCACACAGACTTCAAGCAAGGGCTAGCTTTGCTAAAATAATAAAACAACACTATAATTCAGCATGTGCACTAAAACATACGTACAAAGACGATCTATATCAGCACAAGCAGGGCTAGTGGCTAATTTAAATGAGACATGGAGCAGACAGTGCGCAACGCTTTCATGCTGCTGTTCTTTATGTACTGCAAGTGTGTGACCACCTCTCATTAGGAAGGTAATACAGTGTAATATGTTATAAATACCTGCTTAACTCCTGCTGTTATCAATACTGCGGGTGTGTTTTGGATCATGTAGGAACGCGTACCGCTGCCAGAGCTTTTAGCCAATGACATGTCAGTAAGCAGCACGCACAGGGTACTGCTGCATCGGGATGCCTTCAGGGGCACTCGGAAATTAGTTATCCGCTCAAATCTTTGCCCGATCTATTAATTGGTATATTTTAATGTTTACCATTTCCAGCGGGGTGGCACTGGGGGTGGCAAGGGGTCTGTTGGGGGTGGCAATTGCCACATTTGTCCTGCAGTGTGAACGTAGCCTAAATGATTCATTGGATCTCAAATCATTATTGTCCTTGCTTGACCCATTTAATGACATGTGGTGTGGTCCCAGTTAAAACGTGTCCTCTGAACATTATGCTTCCTGTCTCCAGAGATTGTCACGGGAATGAAGTTTACCAATGATTGCAAGCACCTAATTTCAGTTTCAGGGGACAGGTATGGATTTTCTGTGCTGTGGATCTGATATATAGCAGGAAGTCGTTCAGCTGGTCATGATGGTCAATGAACTCCCTCTAATTTCTGCACACAGTTGCATCTTTGTGTGGCGTCTAAACCCAGAGCTGACCATCAACATGCGGCAGCGACTCTCCGATCTCAAACAGAAGGGCAAACTGGTACAGAAGACCCCCACACACAAGCCAACCACACTCCGGTATGCACCCATTGTCTGGCAGGTTGCGTGTAGTGATTTCAGTACTGGGCTCTTGAGCAAGGTCCAGTTTTCCAGAGGCCCCCCAAATTTCTCTATGGTCGGTCTGACCCTGCTAAGTAAAATAAGTTTAAATAATTGTCTACAGCACACATGAACTCTGAAATTGGTGCTTATTTATTGTTCAATTTTATTGCTGAAACACTATTTAATTCATACATTCATAGAGTTCATGTACTTGGTACTAATTGCTGACAAGTTTATTCAGTTAATCAGACTTGGAGTCCCCACGAAATGCAGCATCTAGTCATTATTCTGACCCACCGTTGCACTGCACCAGGCGGGAGATTCGGAGTGTGCCTGTCCTGGCCACCATGTCCTCAGACAGTGACAAAGAGGTGGACGAGGACTGCATCGAGGAGGAGGAGGAGGCAGGCAAGGCGGAAGACCAGATCTCCCTGCACATTTCCTCTGGCAGCAGCACCGGGGATGACACTGGTAACACACACACACACACACACCTTCCTCATGCTGAGCCATTTGTCAGTGTGGGCAGTTTGAGGTTCTCCTCTGTAGCTTTCACCGAAACAGAATTTTGCTGTCATTGTGTCATTGCCAGGTAATTATGAGGACAAGCACAGTGAACACAAAACTTGGGAACAGAAGGTCAGCAGTTTTTTTTTTTTTTTTTATTGTTTAATTCTACAGTACTACTAATTATTTAGTATCCTAGCTAATTTGCATCTGATATCCCTTCTAAACCTGCATATTTTTAAGCAGCTCTGGGGTAATCCTTTACTGAAGGGTGACTGAACCACCATGGTAGCCATTGACCTCCTGAATATTCAGTTGTGTTGTGGTGTGTACACAGTGCTGTCGCCTGCTGTCCTCACGTCATGTACATTCCTCAACAGCAGAGCTCCTCAACAGCGCAGCGGGCAGAGGGCCAGTCACAGCAAGAGCCAGCGGCATCCAACCCTCGGCCCCGCCGGCGCTGGTCCAGGCGCATGGGTAGCACAGGGCTGGTCGTTAAGTCCATGCTAGACCTCCGGCAACTGGAGTCTTTTGCCATGGCACCTTCTCCATGCAAGTCTGGACCAGCCAACACCTTCAGGGACAACGAGCTGGGCAGCACCACTAGCCTACAGACCATTGGTGTCCCGGTGAGTGGGTGTGTGCGTTCATGTCAGAGTGTGTGAGTAAGTGTGTGCGAGTGAGTGCCAGTGGGTGTGCAAGTGAGTGTGGGTGGGTGTGCAAGAGTGTCTTAGTGGGTGTGCCAGTGTGTGGGTGCATGAGAGTGCACTGGGGTGTGACTGCGAGAGTGAGTGTGTGCAGGTATATGTGCAAGTTAGTGTGAGAGGGAGCAGGAGAGCTCAAGTGAGTGTAAGGGGGTGTGAGTGCACGGAATGTGCATGAGTGAGTGCAAGAGTGTGCAACTGTGAGAGTATGTCAGTGTTCGAGTGTGAGATGATGAGTATGCATGGTGTGAGTGTGTACAAGTGGGTCTGCGAGTGAGTGTGTGGGTGTGCAAGGGTGAGTGTGTGGGTGGGTGTGCAACTATGAGCAAGTGTGGGTGAGGGTGTGCAAGGGTGTGTGGGTGTGTGCATGAGGGTGTGGGCATGAATGTGAGATTTGTGTTGGGGTGTGAGGGTGAGACTGAGTGTGCGTGGATGAGTGTGTGTGAGTGCATGTGCAAGAGTGTCCAGGTGAGTGTCTGTGAGTGTGCAGGTGGGTGTACAATAATCCCCAATGAGTGTCTGAGTGTCTGAGTGGATGCGTGAGGGTGTGAAAGTGCAACAATGAGAGTGTGTGGAGGCGAGACTGGGCAAGTGAGGGTGCGTGTGCAGGTGGTTGAGAGTGTGCAAGTGAGTATGTGTGGTTGTGCAAGAGTGAGTGTCCAAGAGTAAGCAAGTGTGTCGTGAATGTGCAAGGGTGTGAGTCTGATGGGTACCCAAGAATGTAAGCATGAGAGTCTGCGAGAGTGCATGCAAGTGTGTGTGCAAGAGTCAGAGGGTGTAAGTTTGAGTGTGCAAGAGCATGTGGGTGTGCGTGTGTAAATGTGCAAGAGTGTGTGTCTGACACTTACACTCTCAGACACCCACACATTCACTGTGTGAGTGTGCCTGAGCTGAGACTCACAGGGGTGTGTGTGTGTGTGTGTGGGTGCACCTGAATGAGTGTGCATGGATCAGAGTGTGTGAGAGTGCGAATGTGATTGTATGGGTATGAGTGTCTGTGAGTATGCACGAGTGTCCGAGTAATTGTGCGTGACTGTGGATGCATGATTGTCAGTGTGCCGGTTTGTGTGCAAGGTTTATTGAGTGTGTGTGTGTGTGTGTGTGTGTGTGTGTGTGTGGAGAACAACATTAACAAAATTTTAGCAGGAGGTAAGCATATAGTTAGCCAGAGAGCTCAATAGCTTGACTGGTTGGTAATCGTGCTGTGGTTTTGAAGGATCCGTGACCTGGCCTGGGCTCGGCCAATCCTGCTCTTTGTGTTCGGTTAGGACGCTGTGCCTGTCGTTGGCCGGCTGATTTCGCCATTGGGCTCCTGAGCAAGGCCCTTAACTCCGATTGCTTCAGGGACTGTCTGACCTGCTTTCTCAATTGCATCACTTTGTCTGCATAAAAAAAAAAAACAAAAAACAGGTGGGGGAGTCTGATGCAGGTCGCGGGGAATACTCTCGCCCCCAGAGTATCCGTTTGAGCCCCCAAAGCCCAGAGACGGAGGAGCCGGTGCTGTACCCTGAGGGAACCGAGGACAGGGCGAGTCTTGCGGACAGGTAACGCCCAGGCCCGTGCTGAGCCCATGTTCCCCACATCGCATTGGAACGATTCCAAGGCTTTTTCTTGCACTCATATTTATCAGATGTTTTATTGTAGTATAGTAAAAGTTTTTTATTTTTGTAGGGCTGCACGGTAAAGGAAAATCAGATATTGCAATGTGATTTTAATCCAAAAATCTTTAAATCTGAGTAAATCATCAAACTTCTCTTGTAGATTAGTCATGAAAAATGAGACTGTGTTTTCCTTAAGTATTAAGCAGCAAAAAAGTTGTAGCACAATGTGATTTAATTTCCTTTACTTGATGTTGCATGTCCTGCATCACGATTATTGAGTATGCGCCCATCTCAATGACAATGCTGAAATGATGTATTCTGCAGCCATAGTTTGACAATTAAAATGGTCGTGTTTACAGTGAATACCAGGTGAAGGAGGTTCCTCGTGGACCTCTGGGACGATGCAACAGAGGAAACGGTTGCCATGACAAACACAGCCCGGACAGTGCCTGCTCTGTGGACTATTCCAGCAGCCGGCTGTCGAGCCCAGACCAACCCGGAGAAGGTAAGACACAGCACACTTGCACATCCATGCCAAAACTGCCCCAAAATCACTCATGGGGGAAGCCCACCCACATGATCGGCCATGCAGTGCAGGTTCCCAGTGCCCCAAGCTCATGATAGTCTAATTCTACATTCACGTTTTCAAAGCTCTAAGGCCTTGTGTAACAGCTGATAATTAATGACTGAAGGTTAATTTTAAGTGCTGCCTACTTGTAACTCTCAAGGGTTCAGTGATTATGTCAGCACACTGGCTAGAAAAACCAGGCTCCTCTGTTCTGCTTTTGTGAAACTCCAGCCTGTAGCTTCATTGAAATTTTGTAACCAAGCACTCGATCTTCTGTGTCTTTGTGATCGGAAACACGAATGGGAAAATTAGTCACTGCTTATGCAAAGCACGCTTAAGCCACTGCAATATACTGCTTAAATAGCCCGAGTGACGTTGTTCTTCTATAGTGTCTCTGCCCTTTGTCTGTTTGCATGTTCGTGAGGAATCATCATGCTTGTGTGTATATTTTTGTATATGTTCATTTGCTACACATAGGTTTCATGTTGCAGTGTACAGTCATGTTACTGCATATTTTACAGGTTTCTGTTGCTACGGTTACTAACTGCTTGCACCAAGGTGACAAGAGCAGTAGACATGTTGGTAGAGGGAACGGTGCTTGTTTTTGCTGGGCAAATGGGTATAGGTGCACAAGATGGGCTGGGAGTGACTGGCAGCACTTGTGACTATACTCTTGTGCTGCTGTTTCAGATTCTGAAGCTACAGAGCCACTCAGTGTGGATGGGAACTCTTCTGAAGGGGAGGAGCTGGAAGAGGAGGAGGAGGAGTTTGTAAAGACTGAGGTCACGGGGGTGGTGCCTCACACACCAGACCAGGAAGCCTTCCTAAAGCAGCACTTTGAGACACTGGCTGACCTTGGGGGCACAGGTAGGACAAGCCCAGGCTTGGAGTCCAGCTCCAGGTCACCTCCTCCAACATGCTGCCTGGGAAGGTTCCCTCTAGGCGTAACTTGAATCTCTTGTCTCGCCTTGCTCGGAGAACATTCCAGGCGTTTTGGTCCCGCCTGTTGCCTCCCCTCGTGCTTTTTCTGCCCATTGCATGAGTCTGGTGTTCCACCCACAAAAACAACCTCCTGCCATTTTTCCCATGGAATTTTAGCTTTGCTAAATTTGGGATGATGAGCGTTCCTGCATGTATATCCTGTTTCATCTGAAGCACCATCTTCTGTGAGCCCCTATTGTGCATATGTAGGACAGAGCAGGTAGAAGCATGACCACAAAGTAAAAAAACTGTCCCAGGTTACATGACAAACTAACCTAGTGTTCTGTTTGACTTATTGCCCAGTGGGTGATCCTTGTAAGTACATTTAATGTGTGTCTCTCTCTGGTCCTCTTAATGTCCAGCAAACCCAGTGAGAACCCAGAGCACCACTGAGATCGTCAGTATCTCCGCCCGGTATCTGTCCAAGAACCCAACAAGCAGGTACTCTTTGGTTTGTTCATCCGTTCATCTGCTGTCTTCTTTTAGAAGCATTTGTAAATTGAGTGATTTAATGTCTTGTAAGGAAAATGGACAAATCTGTTTTCACATCTGAACAGAGTGCAAATGTCAGTAGCTGTAGGCCCTGGCGTGGGTCTGCTTTCTAAATATCTGAGCTCTTCTTACAGGAATGCCTTCACATTTCCCTCGAAGACTGGTGGAGAAGGAAAGGGCTTGGCACGGGGCCTCACTGAAGACAACCAACGGAAGGGCTCTGAGAGCAAGGGGCCGGAAATGGGGCTGGTCTCCCGCTCCACCCCTCAGAGGAGGAGGACGCAGGTCGTTGACCCCCGCCGGGTGGCCGGTCCCACTGCCAAATCTGCAGCTTCCCACCTGCCCACAGGCAGCCTGAAAAAGTCCCACTCTGCGCAGAACCTGCCCACTGAGGGTGAGTCTCCCATCTCTATAGCTTCTGAAGGACCTGGTTCTCAGTCAACACAGTTCAGAACTCAGGATGCATTTAGTTGTAAAGTGGCTAATAACGGCAGTACAGTCTATTTCCCCCCTGGTCCTCTCAGCTGTGTTCTGTTCTGTACACCCTGAATTATCTTCAGTGTAATGTAGTTTATAAATAACTGTAGGAATCTGCTTGGGTGTGGGGGATCACGTTTGCTTTCTCCCTTGGCCAGCTGACGACCTGCAGCCGTCCTCCCAACGTGCCAAGGAGCTGTTTCCTGACCCTCTTCTGCTGCAGAATGATGAGAGAGACCTCCGCACCACACCCCGCCATTCAGTACCCTCTGTGCCAACCTCCCCCCAGCCACGGGACGCTGCCACCCCATCCCCCAGAGTCCCCAAGGCCCGATCGTACATGAGCCCCACCACGAGCTCCATGGCAAAGATGTCCCGTTCTGTGTCCTTGGGTGACAGCCTCAATCTGGGGGAACTCGGTGAGGCCCCCTTGAGCCCACCCTCCAGCACTGAGCCAAGCTCCTCAAACTTCGCAAAGGGTTCCTCTCCGGACAAGAACAAGCCAGCTGCTTTATCCACAGCTATGTCTCCAACAGCTGCCATCTCCCCCTCGGTCTCCACAGCTCCCCGAGCTCACGTCATGCCTGCCCTCAGCTCCCCAGGAGCTCACTGTCCCAAAGGTCTTCAAAGCAGGTTTAGCTATGGCCCCCGACCCCACCTGACTCTGGAGATCCCCAAATCCCTTCCCGACAAGCCGTCTGTAGCCGTGTTCTCCCCAACAAACAAGTCCCCCAAAGCTTCCAAGGATGGTCATACCCCCAGCACCCCAGCGATTTTGTTTACTGGAAAGACAGGCCCCCACCCACAGGTGCAGGCGGAGAGCCCCTTGGGGAGTCCCCAGCTGGTCACCAGCCTCACTGCCATCCAGCCCAAGGATGTCACAGAGAAGCTGGAAGCTGACAAGCACGCCCTTGTGGAGCTACGCCCCAACCTAAACCACACAGAGCAGGTAAAGCCTACAGATGAGGAGGCAAGATCTCCCATACTTGGGACCCCCATGGTGGAGCGATCCTCAGGACCAGCCCCCGTGAGCCCACTGGAGTCCCGCACCCCGGATCCAGGTTTGCCTCAGCAGCACCCCCGTTCCTTCATGCCGCCTCTGCTTGATTGCCTGGGCCTGCCTAAGCGCTGCTTCACTGCGGCTCACTGGTCCACCTCTTCTGCCATGCATTCTTCACCGTGTCCGTCCATTACCCGCCGCCCCCTACTGGGTGAGGCTCACCTCTTCCCTCGCTTCCATCCCTCTGACATGTCCCATCTGTCGCCTTTCGCTTCTCGCTCCCTTCTGGCATCTCACTCTCACTACTTTTCATGTACGTTTCAATTAAAAGGATCCCTCATTGTTCATAACACGCTTATTGCTTTAACACTGACTGCCTTTAGAACATGTTCAAAGGTATTTCCTTAATATTGTTTTTATACTGTAAATGCTTATAAAATCCCAGTGTAGTTTTTATGCTTGTAAAGTGTGAGCACATGGGAGAAGGGTGACGCTGAGGACACCCGGTGTGACTTGATCACTTTCTTGTGCCCAGACCCCATCCTGAACATGGACACCTGTCGCCTGGTGGCCGGCGAGCTGCGGAGGAGTGTGAGGGCAGCCGCTCAGCTCTTCAAGATGGCGAGTCCCCCACCGAACACTTACTCCTTTAGCATGTTGACAGGCCAAGATAACTTGTGGGTGAAAGAGGAACTTGAATAAATCCGGATCTGAGAGACCAGCACTCTGCGATTCAGCCCCTTAAAAACCTGTCTAAAGCACGTTCTGGTTTTTCGTGAGCAGCCTGCCTCTCTCTCTGCCTGTCTGCCTCTCTCTCTGCCTGTCTGCCTCTCTCTCTGCCTGTCTGTCTGTCTCTCGCTGCCTGCCTGTCTGTCTGTCTCTCTTTGGCTGCCTGCCTGCCTGCCTGACTGGCTGTCTGTCCCTCTCTCCTCCAGGTGAGCAGTGCCAGGATGGAGCCCGACCAGGAACAGCAGGAGATGGCTCAGCTCCTGACTGAGGCGTTCGGGTCAGTGAGAACAGAGCTGGACTCGCTGCCGCCATGCCCGCCGACAAAAGGCCCTGGGGGTGCCGCCACGTGCATGCTGGGTAACCGGCCGAGTGGGCAAGGTGAGGAGAGGACCCTGGCTCTGCTGGAGCAGTACTCAGAGCTCCTGCTTAAGGCCGTGGAGAGGAGGCTGGACAGCAGGGTCTGACTCCTCTCTCCAGCCCACTGTTCCCAGTTAAGTCCTGGACAGCCACTGGACCAGTCAAACCGCAACTCCACTAGTCATTCCAGACAGGATCTTAAGCCATGGTACATGGACATCACTGCACCATTTGACTAACATTAAGTTCAGTGTTTTTTTTGTTTTTTTTAAATGAACAGAAGTTTTTTGTTTCTGTGATTACAATCTAGACACCATGTGTCTCACTGTTCCCACGCCAGACTGGGGGGGGTCCCAGGCTGGGCAGGCCTGTCACTATTGACCGAGGGGTGTGTATGAACAGTTTACTGCTTGGGTTCCCTGGCACAGTATGGGACAGCAGATGGGTGCTGGGACTTTTCAGGATATCAGCTTTGTCTATGGTGGCTGTCCTGCTAAAGAGCAACACTACTGACTGCCTGTCACATACAACTTTGCTCATGGTGGCACACGGATCTCATTAACTTCTACCACTTGAATGCCATATATACTGTCATGTTTTGAACCTCACTACTCCAGTTTTTAGAAGATGAGACTTACAAATCCAAAATCAATTTGTTACATCCAATTTACTGACTGAATGGCATGTCTGTAGACTTGATGCATCTTGTTACAACTTGACGCCTGAGGAGGAATGGACTGACGCAACTCCATTTAGCTTTGAAGAGGAAGAGCCAGAACGCTCTGCAGCGTGATGGAGCCTGGGACGGGGCTCGTTATGAAGACACATCAGGCGGGATTGCAATCAGGATCTCCTGCATTCTTAATCCATTGAAATGTGAATAATCTGTGATTGGCCAGCAGCAGAAGCTGGCCGGGTTACTAAGGGGAGACCCTCAAGGTCAGTGGCAATAAGTGTAATATGGGGAGGTTTGCACCACTGCAAGGTGGACATTGGCTTCTCTTCAGGTGAACATAGTTCACAGGTTAAATGTACCATATTTTGAATGCTTATAGGAAGTGGGATTATGTATTTATTGAGGAAAGACAGTGTGAGGAATTGTGCAATGTTTTTTGCAAAAAAATCGTGGAGGTTTTCTTTTTTATACTGTACAATGTTTTAATTTGGTTTATGCCAGAGTTATGGTCAGTGTCACCAGTGGGCCGAAAACGAAAAGGTCAAAGGTCATTAGAAAGAGAAACCGCCAAACCTCTGAAAAAGCATTTCTCTGCTAGCCCGAGTCATTTTATACTTTTTTATATTTAAAACCGATGATCATAATTTAGACAGGGCTATCTCAAGGAAAAAAGGTGCCTTCATTTTAAAGTTACCAGCAGTCAATTTTCTAAAGTCCATTTTTTTGTTTACCTGATGGAATCTAAGAATTTTTGGAAACGGTGAAGTGAAAATTATGACATCAGAGTAATTCTGATTTGTATGTTGCCCATGGAATTCAGCATATAATTGAAGCAGGGCTTGATTGTGCTGTAAATCCCCGAGGTAACAAAGACTTTCAGCTGGTGGCACTGACACGGAAGCCACATTAGTGGGGTTCACATGTGACGGCAGAGTATCGACTGCTGCTGGAGACGTGTCAATGTGAAGCATTTGTTTATCATTTATTCTAAGACTTCAAACCTTCTCTGGTCTAGATCACGAATCGGAATCTGTCAGTCAGTGTGTAGTTCTCGCCGTCTCTGTTTCTTCAGAGCTCGTTTGGCTGTGATGTTTTGAGCTGGCATATTTCTTACGTTTTTTGCTATGACAATGTAAAGCACTTATATTCTCAGACGTAGGTTTAGCAGACTATCGTACCTCGGGGACCTTGCATACCGACAGGGTCTGGGTTTGCACCGCCCACTCGTCTCCCTGGCTGGACAATGTGTGGGTCTGGTCCCTGCTGCCATGGCAATGGCGGCACCGTGCCACCAGACTGGCACTGCCACTGCCCAACACTCCTGTGCCTGTCTTGGCTGGTGCCCGCTGAGATGCACACAATGGCTTGCGCTGTTCAGCCGCTCCTGGCCAGCAAACCCCTCCACCTGCACAGCCCTGTCCATTGTCACCATATTCAGCTGACGACTGGCATCGGCACTCTAAGCTGTTTTTATACTCGGGCATTTTTGGAGTTGCTAAACTCAACCTGACAACCTGAATATCCAACCCCACAGTCCCCATATCTGTATTTTTTTTTTTTTTAAAAAGCTGAGAGAAATTTACCTACAATGGATATGACTGTCTCCCTGATATAAGAAGCTGCATAAGTGTAACTTTTAATTACAGAAATTTAAACCCCTTACAAGGTGTGCCCAGAGATTTGCTGGCACTGTTAAGTCTTATTGAGGATTTAAAGGTTTGCCTACTCCAGAATGCATGGATTAGATGTCCTACATTCTTCCAAAGTAATTAATGCACACCCTTTAAATTAAGATTATTATTAGGTTCTAAAATGGCAAATTCCTAGCTCAGCACTGACCTGACCCTGTTTATCCACAAGATGGCAGAATTTTAAATTACAGTACAAGAAAGACCAAATAGACTGGGAGCCATACAATGACGTTGGATTGTTTTACACTATAGTGATATATTAACCTGTAGGATCTTCCTTTATACTTGGCGCATGGATGTATGCATGGGGGTTGGGGGGGGGCGGGGGGTGGATGTCCCCAGAAAACTGCATGGTTGTACATTTGGGTCCTGTAATTTAGCCAAACGCCTGGATTTTGGCCCCCTCTGCTTTGATCTATGCTTTTTACTCTGACATGTTTATCTTGATGACTTGATGCTTTTCAGGAGGAGATGCAGCTTTTTTTTTATTTAACAAGTCTCTAAAAACCTGCTTTGTTTTTTTTGTTTTGCACTGACTTCAACTGATACTTTGCTCTGAATGTTTTTACCCTCAGTGTTTCTATTGTGTACCCTTTGATTAAATTTTAAGATGATGAAGTTGAATAAAACCATATTTATTACACTTATTCACAGTGTTTTATTAATCATGCTTCCAGATGGAAAGCAGAAAGTTGTGTGGAGGCTGAGTGATGTGCATTCAGAGCTATTCTGTCAGAAGGGCAGCAGGCCGGTGTGCTGGAACATCCCCATAGGAATGTAGTCTTTGGCTGAAATCATCCAGGTGTGTGGCTGAAGTCCACCTCCCAGCATGGCCCCTGGGGATGCTGTCATAGGGCCCCAGTCTCTGGTTGGGGATGTCGCCCCCTACTGCCTCACAGTGGTCTTGTAGCTTGGGAAAGTGCCTCAAGCAGTTGGAAGTAGTTGTACTTTATGTCAAACTCCATGTCATACCAGAAATTCACTGAGGGATAAAAAGAGAATGTCTGTTAACAGGCCATTCATTTAAGCAGTTATGCCCACGAGGCCCCTCAACAGTAAATGGGTGATCAGTCAAACTGCTGAGTCAGAACAGGGTTACAGCAAAAACACCTGGGGCCGGTTGCACAAAACACCTTCAGTCAGTGTTTCTCAACCCAGTCCTCAGTGAACCCCAGCCAGTCCACGTTTTTGCTCCCGCCCAGCTCCCAGCCAATCAGGAACACCGAATAGCTGGTGCTGGGAGCTGGGAGGGAGCAAAAACGTGAACTGGCTGGGGTTCGCTGAGGACTGCCTTAAGTTTTCACCTTAAGTTTGATACTTAAGGTTTAATTTCTCCTTAGCTAAGGGATTTATTTAAGGGTGTTGCACAGAACCCCTTAAAAGGTTTCCTTAGTTAAGGAAAAACATTAAGGGATTTACAACATTGAAAGATGTTTTACAGCAGTAAAATTGTCCCGTTTCCATGGAGACCGTTCATATGCTTGCATTGTGGAGTGATCCAACTGTAGACAGTCAGACAAATCAAATTGACTGCCGGTCAAATTTATAAAGCAAAACCAATTGCTCATCATTAAGCGTATGTAAGGCGTTCTCCCGGTTGCGGAACACTCTTCCTGGGATTTGCTCATTTTCGTTATTTATTATCATAAACTCGGCCACGTTGCAGTTAAGGTATGGTTAGAGGTACCTTAATTTTTTTCCCTTAGTTTGGTTGCTAAGGTCTTTTGTGCAACCGTTAAGGGATTCCTCAAGTATAAGACCAAGATAAGGAGAAAAACTTAAATACTTAAGAAAAATGTTAAGGAAACCTTAAGGAGGAGACTTAAGGGTGTTTTGTGCAACCGACTTTATTTTAAGGAGACCTTAACTTGGACTTTAAGGAAAATCTTAACTGAAGGTGTTTTGTGCAACCGGCCCCTGATTCTTAATTTTACAAACCTAATCTATGACCTTGAAGGAAAATAAATGTCCTAAACCCAAAAGATGGAATGAAAAACCTTATTTAAATATCAGATTTGGTTGAAAGTTACATTTATGAAGTAACATGCCTCACTTATGTCTACAGTAACCAGTATGAGTTCATGGAAACAGTATCCTAATGTAAGTCATTAAGCAGCATGTTCTGTAGGTGTGTGTATGTGTGTGTACTGGCACGCTACCTGCGATGCAGCCGTGAGACTGCTGGACATGGTGGAACCACAGGGAGGGCAGGTACAGCATCTCCCCCGCCTTGACAGTGCAGTGCAGCGGCTGGGCAAAGCGGTACTCTGGGAAGCGCCCCAGGTCTGGGTTCAGGGGGTCCAGTGGGATCCAGGGCACCTTGGGGGTGGGAAAGGAGGGGGGAGCAGATTCATCTGATAACTCCAGCTAGTCTGTGAGGATTTGTGAGGAGAGGGAACCATGTGATGCAGGACAGAGGAGCACCACAGACCAGAAACCTAGTGAAAAACAAACTCCAGTGTGGCTGAACCAAAACACTAATTCACAAGGACGACAGTCTCTTAGTCACTTAAATTGTCATTATTTAGCATTTAAAACAAATATCAACATGTCATTTAAAATTGACTATGAGTGTGCTTACATTTATCTACAAAGTTGACCTCTCATGCTAGCTAACATGTTATGAGCAGTCAGTTAACATCACACTCGTATTGCATTATGGTATACATGGAGCAATGCAGTGTGCAGTCTGTGCAGTAGAATCTGTGCACAACATAGCACACTAGTCAGAGTTGCTATTTAGAATCTGAATAGCACTATGAATGGTAGAAGCACATTATAGTGCACTATTGTTGGTAAGAGTGAGCGGTTTCAGATACAGCCAGTACCTGAGGCTTCTGTATACTCACCTTATCTGCGTCTGTCACATCCAACACCTCGAAACTCCCATCTTCCTTCTGATGATATTTAGCAGGTTGGTACAGCTCTTCAGAGAGAGATCATGCCAAGCAATGTGGTTCAGTGACACATGATGTCCACAAGGTGGCAGACTATTTATACAGGAGTGTACTTGTTTCAGATAAGCCTTAGAAGGAATTAGGCTACAAACCTACAGGCATGAAGGAGGTCATGTACAGTAAACTCACTGACCGACTCACTTCTCATTGGATTATAGCAGAAATCCCACAGTGTGTAAACTCATTTCTCCCAGCGCTAAGCCGCTATTTACAGGGACAAACAGCTGGCTGAGAACATCTCCAGTGTGCTGCGGATCCTTTGCTGTACCGTATGGGATGAAGGGCCGATCCGAGGGAGGCAAGAGGATGAACTGCTTCTCTCCAGAGATCACGCAGTACAGGTTCTCATAGTGGTCCTTGTGCACTAGTGAGAAGCACATGAATTTCACCATTCAGCCTTTCCTGCAGTGTGGTGAGGGCTGCAGAAGGACTGCCTACTTTTCTTTACATGTACAATGACGAGAGGAGAATCACAGGGGGTATCAAGACTAATCAGAAGTAACAAGATGCCTGACTGTCCCCCAAAGGCAGTAAGTGAAGCGTGCCTTATATGATAAGAGAAACATTATTGATCCCGGGGGAAATTCCAGTGCGTGAGTGAGGAACACCCTGTAATACTTACTTCACACACTTACTTGATGTGATCGCTTCTGCTTCTCCGAGCCAAAAATTCACAGCATCAGGCCTTTTGCCTAAAATAAGACACAATACATGGTATCTATCCTTCTATTCGCCAACTGCCATAACTGCGTACACAGATCACCATTAAAATGAGTACTGAATGCAACATGAATATCACTTATAGGAAGTTGTAGAAGAAATTAAGTTTTAAATTAAATTAGGGGGCATTACTGTAAACTCTCAATCACCAACAGGTTTAGCACCATCTTGGTTCGCACTGCGCTGAACCCGGCAGTGACTGGAATTGCACAGGAATCCCATTCATCTTCTGTTTTGAAACCTGATTCATGCCAATGCTACTTTTAGATGCCTAACTTGTCTCCATTTGGCACCAATGATCCTGGTCACTCACCCAGGGCTTCACTCTTCACTCACCCAGGGCTTCACTCTTCACTCACCCAGGGCTTCACTCATCCAGGGGATGTGGGGCTCCAGATCCCCAGTCAGCTCTGGCAGCTCCTCTGTCAGGTTGGAGCACTGCTTCTGCACGTAGAACACGCCACTGCCTCGTGGCTTCTCCTCCATCAGGTCCAGGACGGCTGAGAGCCGCATGCGCCGCTCCTCTGGCATGACGAAGCGGTCCCCGTGAACCGCGTCCGCATAGCCGTTGGGTGTGACTGCCACGCTGATCTCCTTTGAGCCCACGACTTCCCTGGGGGAGGGATGGCATCTGCTGTCAAGGCTTTAATCCACTAAGCAGGTTTTCATGCTTAGCTGGATAACTTGTTGGATTTAAAGTAGGCTGAGATAAATGGACTTTATCTTCATTCACTTGCATTTAGCTCAGACTAACTTAAATCCGACAACTTATTCAGGTAAGCAAAGTAGAACGATTCGGTGGCCTATACTACGAAGTGGGGTTACTGGCTTATCGGGGTAACTCAGGGGTCTCCAACTCCGGTCCTGGAGGGCTACTATCCAGTAGGTTTTCTATCCTACCTGACTTCTGATGAGCCACACTAGTTCTCAGGTAAATACCAGGAGCAGGTGTGGCTCATCAGAAGCCAGGTAGGATAAAAAACCTACTGGACAGTAGCCCTCCAGGACCAGAGTTGGAGACCCCTGGGGTAACTTGTCAGATTTAAGGTAGTCTGGGCAAAATGTAAGTGAACGAATATGAAGTCCATTTAAACTGTGGTACCTTAAATCCGACAAGTTACCCTGATAAGCCAGTAACCCCACTTCGTAGTACAGGCCACTGGTCAAACCAAAATATGGCAAAAATTTGTTTCCAGTACTTAGTTGTTTATATTGACATTTACAACATGCAAACAGCAGCAGAACTTCCCTTTAGCACATTCCATAATTGCTTATTCACTCACGTTGTAATGAGTCTGGAGCTGAACACAAAGCATGTGGAACACACAGAGTCATTGTATTACATCACGAAATGTGAAAATTCTGCAAGTAATACTGCAAAATTTATTAAAAAAAAAAAAAGATGACATTTTCCCAAAAAAAAACTATAGCCAGATAGAACTTATAAGAATAAGAAATTTACAAATGAGAGGAGGCCATTTGGCCCATCAAGCTCGTTTGGGCAGAACCTAACTAATAGGTCAGAGTTGTTAAAATCTTATCTAGCTCTGATTTAAAGTTACTCAGGGTTTTAGCTTGCGCTACACTAGCAGGACGACTATTCCATACTCCATTATCTACCAAAAGTGTCTGTCAAACAAGATGATGGTGTACAGACATAAAGAAGAGCTAGCAAATGCAATGTGATTATTGCACATCCCAGTGACAATGCTGAAACTATATAACGTGCAGCCCTACTCACACATGCATTGACATTCTATTGACAAATTTGTGACTCTGATCCACTTAAATCTGAAGTCTTTTGGCAACCAGAATACTGCCAGCTGCAGCAGACCCAAGAAATATAATTATAGTAAAGTGCTATATTCGGCTGCAAGATAAAACTGGTATTTAAAAAAAATACACAGAACCATCTGATATGGGGTAGTAATGTATGTATTAAAATAGCAGGACAGCTTGGAGAAGCATTAAGATATGGTTACTAAGTGAGATATTCCTCACTGATTCATGTATGTATCTGTGTAATGATCTGTCTGTGTATGTATACTTCATACATGCATGTGTTAATTGATTATTGCTGACATACCATAGTGACACAGTAACTAATTTGCATTACCTGAGGTAAGAAAACCCCCACTTTTGAAGGGCAGGCCAGTGGTTGAAGGCGTTGCGGATGATACAGGGTTTGTTTGGACTAATCCATTCCCGGTAAAAATCCAGCGGGCGAATGGGATGTTCCAAGTACGGCACTCCTTCGTTCATATAAAGCTCTGAGGATACAATGCAGAGGTCTTAACACTAAAAACCCAAACATGGTATTTAAGAAACAGTCATGTTCCTTCCATGTGTGTTTCACCTGATCGTACATGGATTCCCGCCCCGATCAATGATTTTGTATATAGAGTAGGTATAATCTATTACATGACCTTTATAAGACACGCTATGTATAATTAAACTAAGTAGCAATATGTCAGTCAAGTTATAGGCACGGCTAAAATTGTATGAAATGTGTAATCGTATGTAATTGAATGCACACCAAACGTAACAGTAATATAAAGTTAGAAGTCTGCTTACCACGAGCCTCCTTTACAAAATTTCTTAGACATTCCTTTACCATACTATTCGCCATGATATCTAATGGATTTTAGGTTTGTAATAAGATGCATTACACGTACACATTTCTTACTGTACCCTACTGTACCAAAAGAGTTCACAGATATTCCTGCAACGCCATGCGAGGTCCTCTGCAAAAGAAGCGGAATATGTAGGACCAAATAGAACTGACCTGCGGTCAGTTTTACTGTTTCAAATAGTAAATTTCGTAGTGGAAATTTGCGGAAGGATGCTGATCCAAAATCAGTCATGGATAGAGCATGGACTTTTACATATGCCTCTTCAAGTATGACTGATCGCCCCCTTCTGGCTGGAGGCTACAACTTCTAAATAATAATGCGGTGGCATCACCTTTAAGAGTGATATAAATAATTAAACAAGACGACAGAAAGAATCACTTAATTCCTCAGAATATTTAAATTTGAGAACATTATTATGTGTTGTCACGAGAGTTTGGCGATTTTAGCTAGATTGGCTCTACGATAATTGCGCTGGGGGGTGGGACGGCAAGTCGCACATGTTACTAATTATGAAGTTATTTTCCTGCCAATTACAACTATGGCAAACTCTTTTAATTTGTTATTGATAACGCAAGCACCTCTTTAGCAAATAACAATACTATCGAAACATGACCCCTAAACGCCAGTAATAACGTATTTTTAGAATCATTTGGAATAGCATTTATCATATGCTCCAAAATTTCGAGATGGATGACGAATCTGCTTTGGAGAGTTATTTTGATCAGTCCATTGCTGGTGTAAGTATTTTTGTGATCGTTCAATCAAACTTAGTCGTTGAGTATGTAGACTTGTTTTCAATAATGTTTTTAAAATACAGTATTTTCACGATTTAAAAATATTTCTCCAATACATTTTTGAATTCGCTTTATGTCTATAATAATGACCTGCCAGGAACATGTAGTTGTCGGGGGTCTTTTACGTCTGCACTATAAAAAGCGATATTCTGTACTGCAGATGTGTTCAGACTACTCCTCATACGCAGTAATATCTACACTGACACAGTCCTATTGCCCCAGATTGCTGTCTCCTGTCGCCTAACATTTGTACATCGTCGTTGCAGCTGCATTGGTAGCCCTGTGTTGTAAAGCTGAGATTAGTATTTCTAGGCTTTTATTATACATATTATCCAAATGTGATACATTAAATTAATTTACAGGTCCACGTTATGTATGGTCAAACATTTTTGATGGAATTATGTATTGAATTTATGATCTTTCCAGACCTCATCTGACTACTTGGGTTTTGAGGGGGACATTGGCCTGCAGTCCACCCCTCTGCTCCAGGACTCAGCCTTCCTGTCCTCAGTGAATGGCCAGAACAAAGATTCCTCTGATGACTTGGACCTGAGTTTCTTGCCAGATGAACTCGGTGCTCCAGAGGAGCCACAAGCAGGCAACAGTGCTGATAACACACAAGACTCTGGCATCTCTGAGGCCTACACACCTGGAGAACCAGATGCTTTCAACAAAGACAAGGCCCTATCGGGAAACTCCCCGTTTTGCCCCCTTCCCATGACACCTATGACACCTATGACCCCTATGACCCCTGTATCTGAGAGTTCAGGAATAGTTCCGCAACTGCAGTGAGTTCTTTAAAACTTTCAAGCTGCTCTCCTTCATGCTAATAAGCGATCTTGATGGTGAATGTTTTCAATGTTCAATAATTGGTCCGTTTAGGTTCTTACCATTTGTAAATCATAATTTCCTTGCTCATGTGCAGGAACATAGTGTCCACAGTGAATCTGGCCTGTCCTCTGGATCTGAAATCTATCGCCCTACAAGCTCGCAATGCTGAGTACAATCCAAAGGTACACGATCCTGGTAGCTTTTGAATTTTAGAGCAACACCTGGATACAAGGGTTAGATTCCCAATAGTCTTGTGGGAGAACCCATGAACAATGCATACTGTACATTATTACATTATGTTTCTCTGAAAATGGGTGGCTCCTAATGTATGGAAAAAGAAGTGCACAATTGAAGCACTTAAAGGTGCAGCAATTTAAAGTGGTTACAAACATTGATTTGAGTTTATAATTTATATTGCCTTCAAGCACACACGTGAAGAATGAGTGCTCAATTTCATGTTAATGTGATGATACAATTAACGTGTATAAATGTTTTAGACTTTACATGGTCATTTATATAATGGATATGAATGGACACTCGGTACACAGTCAGGCCCAAAAACATTTTCACATGAAGTAATCATTCTCCTTCTCATGGCGTTGTAGATATAATTGAAGTAGCTTTTATCCTTTGAATAAAGTAGTTTATAAAGGACAGTTTTCAATGTTTGAATATTTTAGATTGCCGCCTCCTCTGTCAGACAGCCTGTAAACTAACTGACAGTGTGACAGCTACCTGTTCTTCAATGTATCCAGCGCTTCGCTGCTGTCATCATGAGAATCCGGGAGCCCAGGACAACAGCACTCATCTTCAGCTCAGGAAAGATGGTTTGTACAGGCGCCAAGAGGTGAGGCACCAACAGATATGGAGAGTAGCAGTTTATATCACTCTCCATCATTAGATTACTGCATATTCTATTGATGATGCTAGACAAGTATGGGTTCTGCTGGTCAAACCCAATTATAAAGTGTTTTGGTGGAACACTGGTTAAACCTGAATCAGAATCAGGTTTATTTGCCAATTGTGTTACACTACTACACTGTAATTGTATTACAATATAAAAGACATCTTGTATAGTGTTTGAGCCATAACGCTATCAATGAGCTGAGGTGAATAGTTCAGGTCTAGAAAGTTTTTAAAAAGCCAGACTGAGACTGACTAGTTGAGCATAAAGAGTCATAGTCACAGAGTTTTCACCTGATTGGTTAAAACAAAATCTTGGTCTGGATTTTTACTTTCTGGACCTGAAATATCCACCTCTGGTGATGAGAAGGGTCAGAGAATGAGAACATAAACAGGCTTGCATTCTGCCAAGTTGGTTAAACTGCTGGGTTCTGTAGTGATGTCCTCTCCACTTGAGTCCATAAACCAAAAAGAAGCAGGTGGCTGAAAATATACAGGTTTGAATATCGGATGAGATGAAATGGATATTCCAGATTAAGTAAAAAAAAAAAAAAAAAAAGTCTGACCTGGAAAATGAGATGTGCCGGTATGTTGGTGTGTTTCTGGCTGACCCCATCAGCGAGGAGCAATCCCGCCTGGCTGCCCGAAAATATGCCCGTGTTGTACAGAAGCTGGGCTTCCCTGCCAAGTTCTTGGACTTCAAGATTCAGAACATGGTGGGCAGCTGCGACGTCTGCTTCCCCATTCGCCTTGAGGGCTTAGTCCTGACCCACCAGCAGTTTAGCAGGTAAGCTCGACTTTCGGGTCTCACTGATAAACCTGTGATCCTTACAGTTCATCTGGAATGGCTTCAGATAATGATTTAATCAGGAGTTTTGAGAATGCAGTAAGAATCAAATATTTGTATTTGTCAAATGGGATCTGTAGTCTCTGAATTGCATGGAGAGAAACGTGTTTCCATAAAATGGACCTGCAGCCTTAATATTGGCCAAAGGTCCAGATGCTAAGCTTTCTGAGCTGTCAACAAAGCCAATAAATGCCTTGTTAGCTACCCTCTGTAATGGCTCCTCCTATTTCATATATGATCACAAGTGCAAATAGAAACCCTTTAAATGGCTCATTTATGAAGTGTGAAAGACATTGTCGTTAGAAATTAAATCCAGGGTTTGAATTAATGTATTTTCCTGTTACGAGCCAATTCTAGTAAGACCTACGGCAGAAATGGTCTCCTCCAGTGCAGACTGGTGTGGTGGCAGACAGACGTTACTTGTCTTACGCGGCCCGTGCATTTCTGTCGCCAGTTATGAACCCGAGCTGTTTCCCGGCCTGATATATCGCATGGTGAAACCCCGCATTGTCCTACTCATTTTCGTATCAGGCAAAGTGGTGTTAACAGGTAAGTTTACAAAGCCGGAGGTAAAACAGACCTATGATAAATTCTGTGTTAACATAATGTAATATAAATGTAACATTATACAAGTAGGATATATTGATAATGGTCAAAATGCGCCTATGTAGACCTACTCCATGATTAATTTATATTCATTTGCATTTTTGTTTTTCATTGCAGGGGCTAAAGAACGTTCTGAAATCTACGAAGCGTTTGAAAATATCTACCCAATTTTGAAGGGATTCAGAAAACAGTAGTCTAAGGTTCAGCAGACTGGCTGGTAGATGTAGACGGCAGGTGCACTTGGTACAAATCATTCGATTCATACTATAATTATAATTTATTCACAATGCATTGTCTCATAAAGTCTTTTGCAAATAATGAATATATTTGGTGTAAACGCAATATTTAATGTTTTCATCGGTGTATCAGATTAACACACAAGATGTTTTCCGAAATGTCTTCGGCAAACCCAATCACTGTAGGTTACAGCAACTGAAATTTCATACAACACAATCGCTGCGCCATGGTGCGTTTAATGTTTGTTCTAAATAAATCAATTATTACCTAGAGGTTTTTGGTTGCACTTCTTAGAGAAAACAAGTGCCTGGATTTCGTATTCTTAAGGTTATAAGCTCTGTATTTTGGCGTTTAAAACTTTTGTACTACAAACCGTGCAGCAAAAGCGCAATTAAATCCAGCATCGTGTAAAACGTGCACTAGCGTGCTTGCGTCCCACGTGATCACTCATACAAAAACATATGTCACGTGACGCGTGAGCCAAAAGGGCCTGAGCGAAACGGCAACAGCGGATAAGCGTCGGTTTTCCTGCCGTCTCCGAAACTGTAGTGACCGGACTTTGTATGACGGTGTATTTAAGATGTTTGCCGTCTTTCCCCGTCAATACAATTTCCCTACTAGAGTTTCAGTTTACGTGTAGACTCCGCCAGTCTAATGGCGTCCCTGGCTGGGAGCGAAGCAGGCGAGACCGGCTCTGGTGAGGGGGCAGTCGCCGGTCTGCCCGGGGCCGGGCCCCCGCTGCGATCTCACGGCCCGGGCTCGCTCATGGTGGAGTCGGTGGACGATGCGGAGGGGCTGTACGTGGCGGTGGAGCGCTGTCCCCTGTGCAACACGGCCCGCCGCAGACTCACTTGCGCCCGCTGCATCCAGGCTGGCGACTTCGTTTATTTCGACGGCAGGAACCCGGAGCGGTGAGTGGCCGTCAAATGACGCTGTTTTCACCCAGCCCCCCTTAACTTAAGTTTAAAAAAGACAGTGGGCGCCTGTGGGGTAGCTGATCTGATGCACACCCCCCCCTCAAACCCGTGTCATGTTGTAAACACGGCCGGTCGCATTAGCCTGTTAGCCGCTCTCCCGGTGCATCCAGTCTGTCTGTGGCCGTGCAGTGCTTCTAACGCCTTTAGATGTGTCTAAAAGGCTGAGGAACCCCCCAGAAATAATCCCGCAGTTTAATTAAATTACACATTCCGCTCTATTTCCGTCTGTTTCTCCCTATTTCTGGAAGCTTACCAAGCGTTAAGATAGCTGCGGCATTTCCATAAGCTATGTGCGGTCGAACCCCGTTAACACGTCTTTGCAAGCGGCCGATTTATTATTTTAAGTTATTGGGGAAGCTATAGATCACCTGCCATGACACACCGTGTACTGTCCGGAGTGCAGAAAGTGACTAAGCACGTTTGTACGACGTGTTTGTTTGCCACCATTGTTTGAAAGTTCGGTTAAAAAAAAAAAAACATTGCGTGCGACAGACGTCAAAGTGCTGCTTTGTAGTCATGATTAATCTGTCCCTTGTTTGTGTAACAAAGTTTTTGGAAATCATTAACACGATAATACAAAAATAAAAACGTCGATCCTTAAAATCAGCTCTGTTTCCTTTCTAGATATATTCAGAAAATAGACCGACTCAAGAAGTTAAGAGAGGAAAAGGAGGAGTTGCAGCAAAGGTAGTATTTAGTTGCGATAGTTTCTCTGGGTTCGTTGTGTGAATTTAAGAAATTTTATATTGAGATCCTGGTATGCATACACCAGTCTGTAAGAGAAACATGTATTTTACGTTTTGGAAATCTGAAATAAATTATTGCCAGGTATGTTTGACATTTACATCTTATTTCCTGTAAGAGTAATCAAATCCATGGAAAAGAAGGTTCGAGCTGATCAGCTGGTAAGTTTGGTTTATGTTTGTAGTACAGAGTTTATCTGTGTTCCTACAATTGGGGGGGGAAGTTCAGAATTGTTTGTTTGTGCTGAGATGTACAGTCATCCCATACTGTGTTTTCATGGATTGTTTTCAGACTCACCTTCGTGGATAAGTGGTTATGGAATATAGTTGGACAGATGTTATTTCAAATGACCAACTCACATTATACATATATATTTTGAGCAAAACTCATTATAAATGAGGTCTAGTTGTGAGATATCCAGTCCCATGTATTTTTTCCCTACAGAAGTGGAAGATTATGTCATGCAAGATGAAAATTGAGCAGCTGAAAGAAGCTGTCTGCTGCGGTAATGAGGAAGTGAAAAGTGGTGAGTGTGGCCCCGCTACTGGCTCTGTTTTGGCTGATTGGTCTATTTTGAATATACAGACGCTCCTCTACTTACGAACAAGATGTGTTCCGAATGGCTTTTTGTAACTTGAAATGTTCGTAAGTCGTTATTCAACATTATTTTAAGGGTACTCAAATCTACATGCATAAGTAAGTATGGGTCATGCCATGCTCGTGCCGATCCTCCTGTGTGCCTCGCCCCTCTTGCTACCTCGTGTGGAATCCCCGTGTCATCAGCTGTTTCTAGTTGTGTTAATTAGTCTTGTGTCTATAAGACCGTGTGAGAGTATGTTTCCCAAGTCCGATCATTCTGTCATGCATTCGGTGCGGGAAAGCAACACAGGAGCTGGCGAAATCCAATGAACACGGGTTTATTTAGGGGAAACACACTCAGGAACATGAAAACGACGTCAAGACGTTAATGACTGGACTGGGGAAACATTCTGTAACGCGGATTTAAATAAACAACAACAATCAACATGACTTGAAACAGCTGGTAACACGGGGATTCCACACGGGGTAGATGAGGGGGCGTGGCACACGGAAGCTTGGACGACCGGGTCATGAAAGTATGATATAAAGTCAATACATGTTTTTTTTTTTTTTTTTAAATCCTAAAACACATTACTAATGATACATAAAACAAAAATGGATAATGGATGCACAGAATATTTCACAATAAAAATGAAGTAAACTTTGATCTTGAGAGCACGTCTTGCCGATACGCAAGTACAAAGAACTGGAATGCTGGGAGTACGCATGCTACACTGGTGTGCGGCGGGAGTAGCGGCCAGAATTCGTACTAGGAGGAATTGGCGCACAGAACAAACTGATGTTGCGGACAGGAAACAGGAGCCTAACGAACACTATTTAGACTTGCAGTCCTCTTCATTCGTATGTCTGAAAGTTCATAAGTTGAAGGTTCGTAAGTAGAGGAGCATCTGTAATTATTCGTGTGCTTGGATAAATGCAAGGCTTGTCCATCTTCAGGTTTTTTTTTTTTTATAAACCTGCCTCGGTCATTTTGTTTTCTTTCTAAGCAGCTAAACAACAACAGAAATGGACGTTCTTTTCCCTTGCACCATAGCAGTCAGTCCTGTGCTAAATTGCTCATAATACGTGCCTGCCTCGTGGTGGACAGGCGTCCTGTTCAATGAATATGTAAAGGATGGCTATAAAGTCATATCCCAGTGCTGTCTTGCTGCTTCTTTCACCTCTTCTCTTTTGGGCATGTTGACTTCTCCCTCCATTCTGTTGGCTCAGGCCAGGACCTGCTGCTTCGGACTCACGAGGAGAGCCAGCGGCTGCAGCGGCGGGCCAGCCGGCACCAGGAGAAGAAGGACAAAATCGAGAGGCACAACCGGCGCCTGGGAGAGCTGCTGGAGAAGAGGGGCCGCGAGCTGCAGGGCCGGCTGGAGCAGCTGGCCGAGATCCGCCGGGGACACATCCTGGAGCTGACCACCCTCATCTTCCCCACCCAGGAGGAGAAGCAGGGCACCAGGTGGGTAGGGCCACACAGAGTGTCTGTCTGCCTTATACCGTAGGAGCATGAGTTTGCTGCTGTGGAATATCACAGCCACAGAACTGGTGGTTTCAGCATTGATTAACCATTGACCTGCGTTGCAGCTATTTGAAGGTCTTTGTGTATACCACATATGTGGCCTGTTTTCCTGTTTATAAAAAAACACATTTGCAGCTTTAGTGAAAAAAGGGGATTCTAAGAGTATCCTTTCTGCAGCCTGAGTCACTGGCATTAGAGTAATGGCGGGGTTGTGCATCAATGCCGTAGCTACCAAAAAAGATGTTTTGGTAATGGCTGTGTTACATAATAGCAACAAGGGTTGCTGCAATCTGATCATTTAAATAAATTTGAAAGTAAAGAAAAATATTTAAGAAATTTGAATAACCTATAACATTACTTGGCTACTTATACCAATGGAAGAATTACAGAACATTTTAACTGTGTGTTAATACAGAGGGGCAAACTGAAACAATTAGCATGGCGAAAAAAAACACAAATGTGTGTGGGCGGGTATGTAAGTTTGAAATTCTGATGGAAAAATCAAATGAAAATATTAGTTTCAGCCCTTAGATACCTGTGTCGTTGTTTTGTGATTAATTCTTTGCTGTGTATTTTAAGCATTCGCAAACTGACCCTTTGTAGGGTCTTTGGATCGTTGTAACCAAGGAAACACAACATTCAAAATTCTCGCTGCGAATCAAGTTTGGTTGCAGCCGCAGGAGTTCCGAGTTGAATATTAATGCATTTAAATCTGTATTTGCATATGCAGTCTATTCTCCCATCTGTTTCCTGTAAGTGCATATCCACTGCAGGATTGTAGACCTTATCCTGGAAGCACATGGCACTCAGGAATGGAATGCTGGATCATACCAAGATGTCATACTCAAACAAATGAGTTTTGAGACACTAGTCACACAAAACCTGTCTCTGAGCTGCGAGAAAGAGCACCCAGGACTCTGTGGGGAGCAAGTCCCAATTTCTCATCAGTCACAACATGTGTGACCACAGCATCATCCCCTGAGCCATCCTGAGCTATTGGCTCATTTGTGTATTTTTATTCGGAAGGCCACTAGTACTGCATGGTGATTGCATGGCTCAAGGCCTCTCCTCCTGGAGTGAAAGGGGAGTGTTTAGAAGTCACCCATGTGGACTCCTGTCTTGCCACAGGGACCCGGCCGATGTGGCGGCAGAGTGTGACCCCGCATTGACCTCCAGCACTGTCAGCGAACTGGCAGAGGCTCGCCGGACCACCTACCTGTCAGGCCGATGGATCTGGGATGATCAGAATGGAGAGACCAGCATCAGCATCACAAGCCCGCGGGTCACGTTGCCCAGCAATGGGGACTGCTCTGCCTACTACAGCTGGGTGGAGGATAAGAGAACCAATCAGGGTCCTGGTATGATTGATTCATATGCAATAATCGAAATTGGAATTAACACGTTGTGAATCAACAGCCCTATTTTAAAAATATTTTTCACTCAGTGGAAAGCAGTTTAGTGATTTTTAGGATGTCTTGAAGGTAATTTATTATGCCATAAACAGATTTTTAATTTTATTTATAAATATCTATATAGCACAGTAAAGAGATTTTCACAAAACCAAATGTTCTCATGCATACAATGAACATAATTAGGTATGCTTGAATTGGAGAACTGATTGTAGTTAATTAGCTTGAATGTGCTAGCGACTTAAGGTGTAGCACAATATTATAGCTGTTTCATGGTTGCCTGTTCTCCATTTCCTCAGAGCTGGATCACATCAATCCGGCACACACCATAAGCGCTGCCCTGTGTTACGCCACCCAGCTCGTCAACATTCTGTCCCACATCCTGAATGTCAACCTTCCCAAGAAGCTTTGTAACAGGTACCCAGCCTGGTGCTGCGTTATTAGACGGGAGATTAAAGGCTACAGGGAAGAAGCAGGGTCATATCCATTCTGGTTTGCAGGAGTGGTTTAGGTGATCAAGAGTCTGACTTCTGGGTGGTTGACTAGATGAGTTTAGCGCTTTTACTTGCCTCTGAAGGCTGATTTTGCATAAAACTGCTTTGCAGTCTCTCATAACAGCTTTTCTCCATTCGGTAAATGTCGATGAAACAATTGGCAGTATTTCAGCATTAGCAAATTATTAACTTTCTGTATTTGGTTATGCAAAAACAGTCCAGTGTGGATAAATAATTTTTAGTTCAGTAAAGTTGCATTCCCTGCACAGTATGATGTGCAAATTACATCAGCATGGAAGTGGGTGCATTTCATGTATTGGCTTTTTACTTGGATGAATTTGCTGCCTTGTTTGTGAATCTCCGCTTACTCGCAGGTTTTAAAAGGCCTGGGGTAGGTTGCACAAAACACCTTAAGTTTCCCCTGTAAGTGTGATACTTACCGTTTCAATTTTTAACAATTTATGAGTCTTGCACAGAATCCCGTACAAGGTTTCCTTAGTTAAGGAAAAGCCTTAATGGATTTACTGCATCGGAAGACATTTTACAGCAGCAAAATTGTATAATTTCCATGGAAATCATTTGCATGCCCTTGCTGCACCGATTTGTTATACCCGGTACTGCCTCCAATGTTAATTTTGTTGATGAAAATATTGCTTGATGAAGGGTTTTTGCATGACGATAACTAAAAGCGCATTTCCACCACAAGTTACCATACTTTTCATACAGTACTTTCGGTTTGGTACTTCCACTTTTCCAATGACTTCTGGTCAGGTACAGTACCAGTACCTAAGGTGCCAAACCAACTGTAACTTTTTTTGTACTTCGGTATGGGATGACATCTAAAATTCTTTCTCTTGTCGATTTTGGTCTTGTAAATAGCCTGCCTCTGAAAAACAATACAACCACAGTCTTGAAAAGTTGTGAATTCGGAAGACAATAAAGAGTTAACAACACAAACACAAAAACACACACACACACACACACACACACACAAAAAAAAGTGATAATGCATGCGCGGACAAATTAAGATACCCAAGCTTAAACTGCAATCTGCTCGGAAGAACAGATACGAAATCAGGATGGCATGATGACAAAAAGTATTTTGTATAATATAGGTACTAAGATCATAATGTGATTTTGTTGTAATAAATATTGGGGTATTTAATACTGAGCTCCATTTTTACTTCATTTCTCACAAACCCATCTAGGAGTGATTTTAAAGTTTAACAACAAGGATGCAAATGATCATGATTGTTTCAGGGAAAGTACACTTTAAACTTTTTTAATTAAACGTATCCTAGATAATCTTGAAAAGGAGTGATTATTAAAATTGCAAAAATTTTTCCTATGACAGAAAAAAGTTATAGCGAAACATGAACTCCTTGCACTATAATGTCCATACAGAATTTTAAGGTAAGAAAAAGCTTGATCCTAATTTAGCTGACTAGCAATGTAAGAATTGCTTGTGCATAACATGTGATGTTGGTATTAATATCACACATCACCCAGACCTATAACACATTACAACTATTTTTCAAATTCAGTACAATATACCCTGCCTCACATTGACATGTCATTCAGCCTCAGTATCAGTTTCTGTGTTGGTGGAAAACCAACACCTTGAAGTACCATATGTTTGGTACTTGCCCACGCTTATTGGCAGAATAACATTATACAGTTTTTTTAATTCTGTGGGAAAAAGATTGATTTGCTTGTTAGATTTAATGAATATACAGGACGTATAAATTAAATGCTGCTAACTTACAGCTTCAGATAAATCATAAAGTGACTGCTGGTCAAAGCTATAATGCAAAATCAATTGCCCATTGTTACATGCATCCATTGGGTTCTCATTGTTCTTGGGTTGTGTTCATTTTATTTTACACCATAAACTCAGCCTTGTCAAGATTGACTTGAGTGTATCTTAAGTTGTTTTCCTTACTTTATGATTGAGGTCTTTTATGCAACCATTAAGGGAACTTTAAGGGGATTACTTAAGTTTTTCCTCATTATCCTAGTTTTACACTTAATTTTAAGGGAACCTTAAGGAGAAGACCTGAGGGTGTTCTGTGCAACCGATTTTTATTTTAAGGAAACCTTAACTTGGACATTAAGGAAAATGTTAAGGTGTTTTGTGCAACTGGCCCCTGATTCTGAGAGCTTGCTGTGCTGCTTCTCTGTCATGAAGGTACACCAGGCCTCTGTTTCCATTAGCAACACTTGTTTACTTCACATGTAAAGGGCCGGCCCTGGGCGTGTGTGTGTGTGTTTGCTTCCACAGCGAGTTCTGCGGCGAGAGCCTGACTCGCTACAGGTTCACCCGAGCCCTCAACAAGCTGAACACCAACATCTTGCACCTCTGCTTCTCTCAGGTACCCCTGGCCTTTGGAGATATTTTACTCCTGTGCTTGAAAGCCCTCAGGTATCTCTCTCTAATTGGAAAGGTCCAGTCTGCTGTTAGACCACTCCAAACTTCAGGCATACTCCCCTAGGCATGTTCCAGGATGAACGTTTTAAAATGCACCATTGAAGATGCCATGTGTTCCAAAAACCACAAAAAGTATACTGTGCTTTTCAATAACAGTCTCATCTTAAAATTATCACTCTCACAGAATTAATGCTGTCTGCCCTACAGTATGTGACTGAACAAAACTCTACAAGTTCATGGTACAGAAGGATTATGGGAGAATACTCCAGATTGGCATTGCTTCCCCACACCTTTGACTCTTCTCATCCATCCAGCTGACATTTTTCCTTCTTTGATGTTTTATCAAGCCTGGCTGATAATAGGGAAAAAAATTAATGTTAATGCAGTTTGCAAAAGTGTGAATTTTTATTTTATGGGCTACTTGAAGTTTTCGTTTTATTGGTTTTAGGTCAGCTGTCACATAATTTAGGGCATTTTGCCACCGCACCAAGTACTGTATTTTGAGTTGTTTGTTTTTATACTGGTGTAAAACTGGTACCGGTGCTGAATGACATCACAGCACAAGGTGGGGTATTTTGTACTGAATTTGAAAAATGGCTGTAGTATATCATTCGACTTGGTGATGTGCAGTATTAATATCAACATCGCATGTTATGCACATACAATTCTAACCATGCTAGTCAGTTATATTAAAATAAGGCTTTTTCTCACTTTTCTGTATGGACATTATAGTGCGGGGGTTAAAGTTTCGCTAAAATATTTTTACTCTTACTCTATCATAGGAAAAAAAATCTTTGCAATTTTAATTATTCCTTTTTATATATTCTTGTATGTTTACAAATCAGTTTCTTTTGCATGAGCGCTGCATGTGTTCTGAGACAATCGTAATCATTTTCATTCTTGTCATTTAAATCACTTGAAGATGGGTTTGAGAGAAATTTAAGAACACTCTTTTTGTTTCATAAATACCCCAATATTTATTAGAACAAAATCACATCATTAGGCCGTACCCAACCCATACCACAAACAGACACTAGTCACAGCAAGGTTCTGGCTGGCTTTGATTTTTTCACTGCAGAATAGTCAGCTCGGTAAAGGTGTTGCTGGATTTGGAGAGACCTGTGTAAAACCAAAAAAGCTTGCTTTACTGTCCACATGGTGTACATTATGATTTACTATGCTAATTTCTGCTAGCACATCTGTGAGAATCACCATATTATGTTGGCACCAGACGCTAGCAAAAATAGCATTAGCTTGAGTAGTTTGCATTACAAATCCATTCCATTCAGCCGATCTGTACTACTTTTCAAGTAGATGGTGGTGATGCAGTCTGCACAGTTTAGTGACATTATTGGCCTTGTTAGTAAGCAGGGCCATGTTGGCACGGATATGGCTCACGTACCTTGCAATGGAATACAGTCTCTTCGTGGTTCGGCTTTGGTACGACTTGGTTCTTGGTGGCAGTGGGGAAAACCATATCACTGTTAAAGCAACCACAGGCAATCCCATTACAAAATGTATTAAACAGCAAACATTCCAATAAACAAATTTATTATTTACTCCACAACCCTAAAGGGTGCAGAATGTTTTGCATGTAACAGACTCGCATAAAAAGCAAAAATGTACTGTGGGAAGTGCATGAGTCGTTTTAATAAAGGAGATGACGGCTGTTTTAAAATGAAAGTTACTGTTTAATAACAGCCATGATTGGTTTAATACTAGCAGCGGCACAGATGGGGAAGCCAACAATTTTACACAGCACAGTTACACACAAACAAAACACACGCATTCTATGGCAAACATCATGCAGTTACAATATTTTCCATTAACGTAAATCCACAAAATACACATTAATTCACACTAACACTCTGCGCGCAGTGCAAAGCATGCTGGTAACTGCTAATTAGCCCTGATGACCGATCCCGCAGCATTAAATTGACGGAGCGCTTGAAACAGTGATCAATGCTCATACAGAAACGTTTCCTAGGAGGCAGATAATTTATGCTATCTACTGTTGTACATTTAAATTCCAGTCAATAAGCTGCATAAAAATTGTTGTAGAAACCAAAATTTAGCAAGCTCTGTAATTTTAATGATTGTTCCTTTTCAAGTTATGTAGTATGTGTTGAATCATGCACTCTCCAAGCCAATCATAATCATTTTCGTCCTTGCAAATGAACTCCCAAACGGTGAGGCACATTTTGAGAAATTTAATAAATGTGTGAGGATTGGTAAATGAACAAAAGTGAATAAGACCTGGTTATGAAAAGACATTGGTCTTTCTAAAGATTGGATTTTGAGTAAAAGCACATCATTTGTTGGCAAAACTTTGTGTCAGCACTACTTGCGGCAACAGCACCAACTTGACAGATTCTATTTGGCTTTAGTTTATTTTGGGTACTTTTTGCAACCTTCGTTTTTTAGTATTTCAATATTTAATGTAAAAATCTCATTGCAATGTGAAGTTGTCTAGTTTTAATATTTATGTACCCAGTACCAGTCAGAAGATTGGACACACCTACTTATAGAAAGGTTTATTTGTACTATTTCTACATTTATAGTGTTTATTTGTAAAATAACACATGAAAAAATGTATTTCAAAAATTGTTGGAGCAGCTGCTTTGTGGGCTGTTGCTGGTTCAAATTCCAAGGTTGGCAGAGTGATCCCACCATTGGGCCTTTGAGCAAGGCCTTGTTGGATGTTTGTTTGGGATAGCTACAGTCGACAGCATCCGCCTAGGCACACACTCCGTTGGACGGCATTAGTAGAAAGTATTGTAGGCATATTCCTACACATCAAAATTCAAAGTTGATTATTGAATGTACATCGCCATTGTACCATTCTGAAATCAAAATATTGTAAATTGATGCATCGTAAAATGAGGAGTATTTGAGTATCATACATTTACACACACATAGAATTGTCCAAAATGTCTTGGTATGCTGAAGCATTGAGTTCCCTTCACAGGAATTAAGGGGCCAAGCCCAACCCCTGAAAAGCAACCCCACACCACAATCCCCCCTCCACCAAACTTTACACTTGGCACAGTGCAGTCAGGCAAGTTCCATTCTCCTGGCAACCGCCAAAACCAGACTCATCCATCGGATTGCCAGACAGAGAAGCGTGATTCGTCGCTCGAGAGAACGTTTCCACTGCTCCGGAGTCCAGTGGCAGTGTGCTTTACACCACTCCATCCAACGCTTGGCATTGCACTTGGTAATGGGAGGCTTGTATGCAGCTGCTTGGCCATGGAAGCCCATTCCATGAAGCTCCTAGCACACAGTTTTTGTGCTGGAGTTGATGCCAGAGGAAGTTTGGAACTCTACAGTTAAGTCAACAGAGCATTGCTATGTGCGACTTTTATGAGCCTCAGCACTTGGTGACCCCACTCTTACTTTATGTGGTCTGCTACTTTGTGGCTGAGTATCTGTTGTTCCTAAATACTACCACTCTGAAATATTACCACTTATAGTTGACAGTGAAATATCCAGCAAGGAAAAAGAAAATCACAAATTGACTTATTGCAAGTGTGGCATCCTATACTGTCCCAGTACTTTTGTCCATATAGTGTATGAGTTAATTGTATAATTATATGAATAGTGGCTAAGTTGAAGCATGGTGCACATAAAGAGAGCGAGCTTAACATTCAGTGATAAATATGAATGTATGAGTTGTAAGTAAGACTTAGGTGTGTACAGGGTAGAGATCAACGCCTAGACTTGAAACTGAAGGTTTCCTGTTTGTCTGAGGAGGGGTCATACCTTTGTGCAAAACATAACTGGGTGGATGAATGCTTGTGGTTTAATTTTGTCGTCCTTGGAATCACCAGCACGTCGAAAGTGAGCTGCTGCATCCTCACCACACCTTGCGGAACATCATGTTTCTGGTGTCCCCTAACAACAACAACCTGGGCAGGTGAGAATCCTTTGTTCCATCAGGCAGGATGCACCTTTAGAGTATACATTTTGCTGTACTATTTGCTCTTCAGTTCTTCCAGTCAGTGAGTAATAATGCAAGTCTTGGAGTAAGAAGGATATTTTCAAAAACCAGTGTGTCAGAGTGAAGCAAGGTGAGACGGTGGCTTAATATTTGATTGCTACACATCTCACTCTGAGGACATGGTTTTTTGAAGAATCTGTATAGTTTTTGTTAAACATAACAAACGGAGGCTGACCCTGTGATCCAAGTTGGCAAATTAAACTGAAGCTTGGTGCAGTTCCTATAGGTGTGATTTAGAAAAGATACCAACAACCAAATGTAAAATGGTGTTTAAAAAAAAAAAAAACAAAATGGTTTGTGTCATAGAAGGCAGCTCTCCCCTCCCTTTTTTTCCCCTGCTGAGTGGAGCTTTTTTTCTGCAGCAGCAGCGTTCCGTTCCGCTGAGCGTGTTGTCAGTGTGGTCGCTTGGCCGGCTTTCCATCTGGCCCCGCAGCTTGTTCTTGTAGGGCATTGGTTAAACTGTCACCAGAGGTGCCTTCAGCATCTAGCCCTTCAGCCTTGTTTGGGGGGGGGGGGGTGAGGATTGTAGGAAAGGAATTTTTTTTTTCCTGCACACAGTTTGTGAGTATAATATGCCCCCCCTCCATGAATGCACTTTGTTTCTTGAATTTTAAGTCCAACAAATGTCAACTCAGCTCTAGATGATTTTCTTGAATAAAGAAATGCATAACTTCATCGATTTTTGAATATATAAAAATATAGGAGCATTTTGTTCAGGTTATAGACTAAGCTGATACTCAAAGCAGGTAGTGTTGTGTTTGGGGAAGCCTGAGTTCCCAACCTGGCACTCTTCTCTCCTAGAACGGGACCCTTCGAGGTCAGTGCCGACCTGGAGGACTCCATGGAGTTTGTGGAGCCAGAGGCAGCCAGTCAGGCAGAGGATAGCGGCAATGAGGCAGTGACTGATGAGGAGACTGACCTGGGTACGGACTGGGAGACCGTTCCCAGCCCACGCTTCTGCGACATCCCCTCGCAGCCCATGGACCTGTCGCAGAGCACCGCCATGCAGGCCTCACAGCCCATGGGCAACGCCGGGGGCATGATCTCCTCAGCGGCCGCCTCCGTCACTTCCTGGTTCCGGGCGTACACGGGCCAGCGTTGAAGCCTGCTCAACACAGACGAGTTCCCCTCCTAGACACCTTTGCTACCCCAGCGGGCCTTTTGATGAGACTGCATGTGTATGTGTTTGAGGTGGGAGGGTGTGACTTTGTGGATCCCCCTTTTATAAGATTATCTGAAAACGGTTATGCACTGAATATGTTCTGAGAAGAGTATAGCAGGATTTTTGAAACCTACTTGGAACACCACAGATTGAGTAGACAATGGATGCCATAATGCTGAATCAACTACGAAGAGAAAATTAGCAATATTTACAGCCTACCCCACCAGTGCAAAATTGTCAAAATGAGGATGTGTTGGACCTAATGTTTGGCCTGTTTTAAAGCTATTTTTAACATTAGAACCTGTCACATTCACTGTGTTCTTGGGTAATTACTACTGAGTTTAGTACTAGCAAAGGATCTTCATGTTTGCTTAGACCTAATCTGTACCAAATGCTGTCAACCGGACAGTTATGTCCATGTTTACCTTATGGAAGCCATGGCATGTCTTGAGGATGTACAATACTTTTCTCCTCTTCCAAATGTCATCTGAACTGCGATGCTATGCTGCTTCCAAAGGACACATTTCTGTTGCATCAAGCAATATTGTGTGAAAGGTTGTCAGCGACAGGTGACGTGTACTACAAATAACCATCAACATCCATTCAATGGACTGAAGACACAGAGGAAGCTCAAAATACTTCGGAATAGGTAGATTCACATTTTCTGTAACAGTGTATGGCTATTATGCAATTTTTTTTTTGCCATAAAACATTTGAAACAGTTTATTTGAATGCTTTTTTTTTTTTAGCCCAATCATAAGGTTACTCCGCTCACCATGGGCATTGAACTTGCCCAACTCCCTATAACGCTCAAAAGTCCCAAGAGGCTTTACACTCCAGGTTAAAGGTAGAATATTATATCAAAAGTACAGTGTTCATTTTTGGAGAACTTAACTCAGATGCCTAGAAGCTGATGAAAAGACCCTAGATCATGCGAGTGGAAACTTACATTTTTAGTAGTTTGGATAGAATAATCCAGGTATCTTGGACCAAATTCCAAAATCCCCACAGTTTTGATTTTAACTTGGTGTGGAAGCATTAATAACATTAACACCACAATCGCTTTAATGCATCTTTTATTGCCCGTTCATAATGAGCCACTGTCACTGTTGCACAAGTTCAAGATAAGGCCACACTGAATATTAAGAGGGGAGGGGGGGGGAGTGAACAAGGTGCACAGAAAGAAGCAATTCAAACTGCCTGTTAAAATGATCCTTTGATATTTCCATCCGTAACATGCATGTAGAATTCAGAACAATTAACGGAACACTGAAGAGAATTTTTGTAGCTTTTGGTGCTTCAACAATTTTAGATCCCTACAACAAATGACCCTTTAGGTAACAATTACCACACAGGAAGTCAAAGTAATGGTGCAGTGCTCGGCAAACCTGGACAACCAACTGTTACCCAGAAATAAGATTTTAACCTACATGACGCCACACAGCACTTCCCAGACTCTCAGCATAGGGTGCAGAAAAAAAAAACTAGCATAAAGTGTTTATTCTTTATTTACCGACTAAAAATTCTAAACAGACCATATTATGAATTAGGAGAGGGGTGGGTGGTCAATAATACTCAATCTGCCCATTAAGGCAGAATCCACTCCCTACTTCCTAGAGTGAAGGGATTTCATTCTCTGTGCTGTTATCTTTTTACCATGACAATTCTGACATCAGTGACAGAATAACGGTGTGTGCGCATGTGTGAAAAACATTGGTGAGTGCAAGGCAGAACACTAGCTGACAAAACCTTTAGAAATACACACGCTTTATTGAAGTAAATTGCCTGCAAAGGCAGAATCTCATATCAGGGAGTTTGTACAATGGTTTAAAAAATACATTCTTTTTCTGAATATTATTCTTCGTTATTCTATCCCCCCAGATGACGTCCAGTTATAGCCAATGGAGGAGTGCAACCCCTCTTCCTGCATTTAAGTCTCCCTTCTGGCAGGGATCATATCATGCAAGGGAGAAAACACAAAAAAAAATGGGAAAACTATAAAAACACTGTAAATGGATGCAAAGACTTCAGGGAATATGCAGCTGGGCCAGCGCTAGAACTATATATTATACACACACACACACACACACACACACACAACTGTAGGTCATTTCTTAAATATGTACATAATTGGGGGGTTTAAAAAAGAAATATTCTACTTACTAATGATAGAATCTCACATATTGCTAGTGCCTGACCCTGTATTGATATATTATTTTGCATTATATACAGTGTAAACATAACAGGGCTCAGAACAAGCTTCACGCACTCTAGGGAGATAACCTCAGGCTGTCTTGCTAACACATCCATGACTGATCTAGGCAGGGCTGATAAGAGCACAAGGTTTTGGGGGTGGGTAGAGGGGGTGCTTTTTTTTTTTTTTTTTATAATGGCGTCATGGTCTAATTACTGCTGTTAAGTGACATTGGGCAATGCACCTGTTGACACACTGAAAATAAATGCAGTAGTTTTTAAATAGCTGAAAAAGTGGCAAGTTTGAGCCTCCCCTACCCCATTCCCCACCCAAGGTGTTAAGGTTCAACAGATTCTCATCAAAATTGACTGTTGATGAGAGCAAGCAGTATCAGAACTGAACACTGAGGAACTCCATCATGCGAGCTTAAAGTGCTGACCGTCTCCATAGAGGAGCAGAGGAGGGCTTGGCATAGGTACACTGTAAGGGGGGGGGAGGGGTGTCCAGCAAGTCCTCATTAGCATCAGCAACCTAGTCAACCTGGCAGAAAAATAAAATAAAATAAAAAATAAATCTGACTTACCGCAACGTGCACACAGCACACACAGATACCGAACGCATGGCAACGAGCAAGCCCTCGAGATTAAAAGCACCAGCCCGGGCCCTTCCCTGTCCGTTACGAGTCTTCCTCGACATCCCTGGCTTTCTTGTACATTGGCACGTTCATGCTGTGAAAGGCAGGCACCCAGTGGTTGTCATGGAGGCCCACATTGCAGCCTGGCGTGTCCTTACGGGTGCCGTGGCAGCACATCCAGTAGCCGGGCCCATAGGGCAGTGCCTGGCAGTAGGGCTTGTGGTGCCAGCGGCAGAGGGAGACGTCGCCGCGCCCGTAGCGTTTCTTGCATTGCTTGCAGGGGTCGTCCTTGTAGCGTGGGTCGCACACCCAACGGGAGTCGGCTGGCCGCACGCTGTAGCTCTCGATGATAAACTTGAAGTAGTGGCAGGTGCACTTGAGTGCAGCAAGGGTCTCCGTGGGTAGGAGGCCAAAGATCTTTACTATGATGTGGTGGGGCAAGATGGCCATGTACTGCTGGGGCTCAAGGAGGAGCTGGATCTTGAAACGCATCTCGAGGAACTTGTGCGAGACCATTCGGCGGAGAGGGAAGTGTGAGCGTTCGGGACCGATTGAGTCACCATCGCTCTCAAATTCTACCTCCGCGTCTGCTCTTCCATGGCCCTTTCCCTCAGAGGGGGGTGTCACAAGGTCACACGGGAAGGCTTGGGAGGGCAGCATGTCCCTAGGAGAGGCTTCCTCTCCAGCCGGAGCAAGGGCCAGCTGCTCCAGCGTGGATGGAGGTGGTGTCACGAAAAACAGTCTGCCCGGGAGCGGTTCCTGGCGCTGCCCGAGGCAGGACTCACACTCTACCCTGCTGACCCTGCCATCCCCGAGTCCCGGCACAAGTGCCCCTCCTGCATGGAGTGGATCTGCTGCCGTGGAGCCCATCCTGTGAGCTGTGCTTGGTGGCTCGGTGGATGCGCTGCCAGGTTCCTTCCCGGGGCCCTCGGGACCCCTGTCCCGATTGGGCTGGGCCGTGGGTTCCGGCCGGGCCTCAGTCTCCGCCAGCAACACCCGGCCCACATTCCTCCGTAGGCTGCCACTGCGCTTCAGGCCCCCGGCTTCACGTTCACATTGCTCCTTCAGACACTCAGACTCCAACTTCGCCACCATTTCCTGAACGCGGATGCCCTCCCCCACCTCTGCCCGGTTTTCTGGAGCATTCTGCCCCCCTGGCTGGTCCAGTGGTGGTGGTAAACCTACCCCGGACAGGGGATCGTTGCCAGAGGCGCGCAGGGAGCAGGGTTTGGCACGGCCCACCTGCTGGTCAAAGTAGGCCACAATCTCCACCACAGAAAGGGTCTTGGTCCCCTCCTCGCCATCACCTTCCCGGCACACCGGCTCTTTATGCTCCACACGGCCATTATCCAGAGACTGCAGTTTGGTCATGCTGTTCCGCCGCGCCAGGGTCTGCTGCTTGTCCCGGTCCTGACACCACTTCCTCCGCTTGGCAATAGATCCTTCCACCTCCCAGCAGCCTTTCACCTTCATGACTGTCCGGAAGCTGGGGGCCCCACCCCCGATGGAGGTGGGCTCGCCGGTGCCGTGGCTATACTGCTGTGCTGCATAAACTGCAATCTTCTCCTTGGTGTTGCCAGGCTTGATAACTGCCCAGATGTCCAGGGGCCCCTCGCTGTCCTGCCCGGGGCTGGAGCTCAGCTCGTTCCCCGACACGGGAGAAAGCAGCAGCAAGGAACTGGTGAGCATCTTGACTGAGGAAGCCTTTCCATTCCGGCCGCGTGCACCGCACGAAGATTCCACAGCTGCCTTCGACGTCAATGTGTTGGCACTACTGCTGCAGAGGGTGTTGGGGGAGATTACCCCGAGGGGGCGTCTGCTAACTATGCCACCCCCCAGGGAACACTGCCGACACATGCTGTGATCGGTCCTCTGAGCCCCCTGCTGGCCGACATGAAGGCCTCTTGTGTTCTCATGGCTTGATTCCAGCTGAAGTTCCTTCTTCTGGAACTTGGGGTATGACTTTAGATGCATGCTTGTAAACCTGGGGAATTTAGAGAATGAGAGGCACATAGTCACGATGCTGCTTGAGCAATGTAAAACACACTAAATCTAACCAATTACCTGTTTGTGCATAATTTTATGTATGTAAAAAAAAAAAACAAAAAAAAACAAAAAAAGACAATGTCCTCTCAGTCTTTTGTGCACTCGCACACACAGAATGACATTTGGGAAATAGCCCATCTGTGACACACAGCAGGCGCTCCCAGAAAGCCAGAGACAGCCATAGCAGATAAGGCGAAACACACCCCCTGCCTGTTATCTAGCATGCTGCACACTTGGCTCCTAGCACCTTTTCTACGACATGGGAGGGAAACCCCTCTGCCAGCCATTTTCCTGGCATCGTTTCCCCTTAGGAAAACATTTCACTGGATGATGTGGCACTGGTGGACACTTCCTCTTCTCCAGTGAGGTAAAATGAGGTACATTCTGGGCACAATTCCTCTACCTCACCCCACAAGGGGGGGGGGCGGGGGTCAGTAGTTCAGCCTCATCTCATCTACACAAACCATATCAGTGTGTAAATCGAGAGGATACCTTATTCTGCACACAGATTTTTTTTAAACTATGGGATGGAAAGTTTTATACACAGTACAGTGTAATATGATCGGTTTAAACCTATATATTGTTTTGCTTGGTCAGAACACATCTTGGCTGGGTATTGAATTCCTGCTGGTTCCTACAGAGGAAAATAGTGTCTGAAAATGTACCGTAGTGTTTAGACATGCAAATGTGCAAGATCCAAGGAAACAGCTGGCTGCAAAATGACACCACATAATAGGAAATTATAATGAGTGTCAGTTTGCAGTCCAGTATAGCAGCATTATCATCCGAAGCACGATGGGCACAGAGAAGGTCTGTTACAGAGGCTGGCCATTGGAAACAAGGCTCCGTTTT